TTATTGTTTGCCCTACAAATTTACGGTAAAAGTAGAGCAAGGCACCCAAAGTGAATACAGGTAAACCTCTCCACAACCACAACCTTGAGGAAAGAAGAAAGTGGCCGTTCTAGGGAGGTAGGGGTGACGGTATGGACAGCCCGCCGGGACCAAAAAAGTGGCCGTTCTGGAGAGGTGGCCGTTAGTGTAGGTTCGACTGTAAAAGGAAACGGGCTTTGTTTTTTAAACAGTAGCACGGTACAGTGTTGACGGGTGCAGGCTAGGTCTTTATAGATTCTGCTAGCATAATTTGAGCAAACTGGCATAATGTCTGCTAAGTAGCAATGCTAGCATAATTCGCATATTTTGATAATTATCGGATCAGTTTTGATGCTACAATTTGATCATTGTTCGTCTCTACTCCCAAGCACTTGGTGACGTTATTCGATGTTTGAAGTTTTAGTTCAAGTAGTAGCTTTGTAGTTCACTGTGAATCACTGAGCGGCGTCTGAAATGGTCTGAGCCCGGACTTATTTGCAAATTTTTCAAAGAGTACAATTTTACAAGAAGGGGCATAATTTGGAAAAAAGAGCGTAATTTTAGCATAATTTCGCCAAAATAAAAGCAATGCTACTAGCATAATATGCTACTTTTACTAACATAATCTATAAAGGATATATCAACAAAGTTGAAGTAGTACTTGAAATTGGCCACCGTAACGATTACAAAAGCTGACGTTTCGACTTCGTCGGAGCGAATAAAGGAATTGTGTGTTGTGTGTGCTTTTGAAGGCAGAACTGGAGCTACGTTATTGGTGGGAACATTGCAACGAGAAAAACACGAATAAATTAGTGGAATGAAAAGCGTTCGTTGATCCCTGTGGGATTTAGACTGCCGGTTTGAAAGATGAGCTTTTGTTCAAGAGTTTTACGGCTTTCCGTGCTACCTAAGTGTAAGGAAAGACCGCAGATTGCCATATGTTGCTTAGAATGATTAGGTAAATTAAAATGTCTAGCGACTGGTTTCGATGTGTCCTTGTCATTCCTTTCCACGTCGCGAAGGTGTTCTCGGAATCGGTCACCTAGTCTTCTGCCTGTTTCGCCGATGTATATCTTTTTGCAATAAGTGCACTTATTGCAATTATTGCACCTTCGCGACGTGGAAAGGAATGACAAGGACACATCGAAACCAGTCGCTAGTCATTTCAATTTACCTAATAATTCTAAGCAACATATGGCAATCTGCGGTCTTTCCTTACACTTAGGTAGCACGGAAAGCCGTAAAACTCTTGAATAAAAGCTCATTTTTCAAACCGGCAGTCTAAATCCCACTGGGATCAACGAACGCTTTTCATTCCACTAATTTATTCGTGTTTTTCTCCTTGCCATGTTCCCACCAATAACGTAGCTCCATTTTCTGCCTTTAAAAGCACACACAACCCACAATTCCTCTATTCGCTCCGACAAAGGGCTAACACTCGAAACGTCAGCTTTTGTTATCGTTACAGTGGCCAATTTACCATTTCAACTTTGTTGATATATCCAAATTATTTCGTTACCGCTACCAACGCAGCCCCAGATAGTTTCTTTAGAAACTATCAGCCTTTATTCATAATCTATAAAGGCCTAATGCTGGCTAAAGAATTCCTTTCCAGAGTGGTAGCAAGACCTTTAAATAATTCCGCCTACAACCCAAGTGCCAGAAGGGTGCGAATGAACAAAAACCCGTCTGAAACGAAATATGATGCAAAAGCCACTGGCTAAAAGAAACCATGAGTCTCATTTTGCCTCTGTGAAAAAACAAACTAAAAAAAACAAAACAAAACAAATAAAAACAAAACAAAACAAAGCAAATAAGAATCTAGGGAAACAAACAAAATGAAAAAAAAAAAAAACAAACAAACAAACAAACAAACAACCACCAACACACAAAGGTAAAACACATGGCTGAACATTTTACCACGCCCCAAATCGGCCATTTTTACATTTACATAGCCAGTTTTCCCATAATCAACGAACTTTTGGCCCCTAATTTGTTTTAGATAGTCTTTCTTTGATGGAGTTTGGAGACGCAACAGTTATGCATACTTCGAGTATATTAGGCGATGATTGGCTGATGAGTAGAAACGCGCCACATTTTGGAAATGAATCAACAAAGATTCATGTTTTATCTGCCCTCTTGTATAAGGCAATTGTGGTAAAACAATGCCCTAACTTTGGTTCCTGCCGGTAAAATTTTGCCTCTAACATATTTCTATTTCTTTTGTGTACAACAGTTATTTATGAGTTTATAGCAGCACCTGAGACAAAACAGGTCAAATCCAGGTCGGGCAAAACAGTTGAGGTCGACGCTGATGTTTTTCTCCATACTACAGTAGTTCGCCGGCAACCCGTTTGAAGATCAGTTGGACATGTCTTGAACTACTGTAATGGATTCAAAGTTCGCAAAGGTAAGATGTATTTCTTTAGACCCAGTTGAATGACCTGGATGTCCAAATACTGTAGCGCTGTCAATTTAAAGTTGAAGTCCTCTGCATTTGAGCGTTGAAGTTTTTATTTTTAGGGTGTAAATCAAGTTCGACTATTGAACAAGCTAACTGCAGGATTCTCCAAGAATGAAGGTGAAAGTTCGGAAGAAACAGCTGATAAACAGGAGAAAACCAAAATGACTGACTCCCTGAAAAGTGTGAGTTAAAAGCCCTTAATTAACATATTGACAGACTCATCAGTTAAAGACCTTTTATTGTGTCATGTCTATCATCAACCAAAATTTTCCGGGACTTCTCATTCGAGTTTCGATGAAAGACGCTCAATTTTCCTACAAAATATCAAAGTAGTAGATAATTTTGAGTTATCGTCTAAATAAAAGGTAGTCAACTTGCATGTAAAGAGTTCGTAGCTTTTTTTCATCTATTCCGGGCGAAGAATTTGCACCTTTGTCTATGGAATGGTAATGAGATGAATGATACTAAATGAAAGAGTAGCTGATTAATATAATATTTATCAACGAGTTCCATTTCATTTAGCAATGGCACAACAACAGAGTGGTTCATTACCTGTAGACAACAATTACATGTTGGTTTTCATGGAAAGGGGCGACGGTTGGAGAATGCTTGTCAAAATATCCTTAGTGTGATTCCAGGGTTAGGAAGCAAACCTGAGTTACAGAAGTGATATATTAATGCTATTACCTCTCTGCATTGTGCCATACATGCCTCCCCCAGCATGATATAGGGAGTGATAAGTCCCTTCTCCCTTCAAAACAGCATCTTTTGTATACAGTTGAACCTCTTTTCAACAGCCACCTTGAGGAAAGAAGAAAGTGGCTGTTGTTGATAGGTGACCGTTGTAGAGAGGTTTAAATGAATGCAGGATCAGCCTGCCAGGACCAAGAAAGTGGCTTTTGTTGAGAGGTGGCTGTTAGTGGAGGTTTGACTGTAGTTGCATGGTCGCATTCCATAAGTTGCTTGGACATGATAGGTGCCAAACTCATATTTTCTTGGGGTTCTGCTAGTCATGTTCATCCTAGTGGTTATTGTTTTAGACTGTTGACAAAGTGAGGCTCCACCTGAAGGTTGCCTCTGTGGTGAAAGATGCCTCTGCAAAGGGCAAGGAAGAGGAGAAAAGGTAGGTTTTGTACTCTACCTGATCAACTGGAATTTTGTCAGTATTATTGGTCCAAAGTATGAATACAGTCCCTTTAATTCATACAGTATTAACCTGTTACACCCATGCATGGACAGATAAGTTCTCAACATCATTCACTATACATTTCCTATGGTCATTACAAGGAGAATTTGTCTGATGATCAAGTTTCTTGATTTTGCAATCAATCCCCATGGGGTTAAAGTTTGAACGAGGGGTGATACTGTTACAAGAAATTAGATTTTTATCTATTTTAGGGGTTAAATTATTTTGTAAGGTTAACTTAAGAGTATTTTTTCTGGTTTTAAGGGAAATAACCAATTATTGTAATTAAAAGTGTTTTATCTATGAAACTCAGTCCTGCATTTTTTCTTTGAAGGAATGCAAAAGTTCCACAGTTGACGGCAGTTATGCGGCTTTAATTGCCTGTTTTATTTTTAAAGTGCTAACACCACAGAATATCATGGATCCTTACAAAAAGGAGCCTTTCATCAATTGATGGACTGATCCCTTTGCCTATATAGACAGTGCTGGACACTAACCGTAGCCAACTAGCCACAGAAAAGTAGAAATTCAGTTTTGGCTGGTGGTTTTTTATTTCTGCTGGCCAGTTTGGCTGGTAAGCTGAAAAGTTAGTGCTGAGCCCTGATAATTTATTGAGATCACTGAATTAGACATGTTGGTGACTGTTATCATTTAATATCTGATTTAATGTCAGCTAGTTTAATTTATTTGATTTCAACATAGGGATAAAGAATTCTATGCAGTTTTTCATGCAATACAGAATGAGGTAAATAAATGTTAAAATAAATCCAGTTGACAATTAACAAACATATGGCTGCAAATGTGCCTTTCGTAAAGTGCCCACAATAGTTTGATATTGATCAGAAAAAATTGAAACACTAGTGCTCTTTAGTTTTACAGCCTTTTTTTTACTCTGATTGAGAGGGGTTTTGTTAAATGAAGTATACAGTCAAGTTTGGGTCCCGAATTTAAACCTTTTTCTTACTGTTTAATACTTGTAAAAATATAACTGCATTAAGACTCTGCCCACACACCCTATAGGTACATGGGTCCATTAGGAGCATTTAGGCACACTACTGGCCTGGCCATACTTTGGCCTCAGTGAGTTTAAGGTGTTATAGGTGCTGCAGGCAATGGGAGTTATAGGCTGAGATGGTCATTCAGTGCCTACCACAACTCTTGTTGACACCAGTGTGAGCTTACTTGTCTCTGCCAGCCTTTCTCCTCATGTCTGCACACCTTGAATAGTGAAAGTCTTGCCAAGGAGTGCAGTAATTTCTTGTGGTGCTCCAACCACAGCAGTACAGTTTTTGTCTTGGTGTTACAATTTGCTTTAAATTTTGTGCAAGCAAGTCTACATTTTCTCCTCAAGATTGCATGTTTTTTTTCAACCCACTAGAAAGAAGAACTTCTGATGTCAAAAGAGGATGAGGAAGAAAACATGTGGGATATTGTGGACTTGGATGATGAGGCAATTGAGGAATATGCTTCTAACGAGCTACTGGGCCAGTTTTTGTCCAACACAGTCTTCAGAACTGGAATTCTATGTGTCATTTTATTCAACAGTTTACTGATTGTTGTTGAGACAGACCAGGAATTTGTGAGTATTAAAAAACCCCTTTGGTTCACAATTTTGAGCTACTTTATTCTAAAAACTTTTCTGTGTACTGTTAGTATTTTCATTAGGAAATGTAGTGAAAGAGGAGTAATGTGAGGTAGTGAACCTAATGGTCTGTCCAGCCTGAGTTATCATGATAAAGCTTTAGCATGAATGAACTAAGAGTGTTACTACTCCTTCCTGGATGAGATACCAGTTCAGTGTGCACCCCCTCCCCCCCTAGCATTGTCATCAGGCTTACAACGCCTGACAGTTCTCTCTGGTACCTATTTAAACCCCTGAGTGATAGGCAGTGTGAAAGTTAAGTGTTTTTAAATACCAAAGAACACAGCTCAATGCAGACCTACAGGCCAGCCCCTGAACCCAAACCCTTCACCAGTCCATTCCACTAACTGTTAGCCTGCTGTGTCCCCACAAGGAATGATGCAAAGAAACAGGAAAACAAACTGCTAATAGCATACTGTTAAACATTCGTTCCAATTTCTTGATACTTTACAGGAGGAGAAGTACAGTCATTTGTTCTCAGTGTTAGACCAATGCCTAATGACAATTTTTGTATGTGAGATTCTTGTCAAATGGTATCATGGATTTTTTATGTTCTGGAAGATGGGATGGAATGTTCTTGATTTCTGCATTGTGGTTGCTCTCCTTCTCGGACCTTGTGAGTTTATTCTAGATTTGATATTTTAGTGGGTAGTATATCACTTGCAATTTACCTTCTTTAAATTTCCATCTTCTCCCATCTTCAAAGTAAATTTTCTTAGTTGAGGGAATACAAATGGAGGGAAAAGATGATGAGACCTTCAGGGTCTCAGGACATAAAACGTTAAAGATGGCTGCATAGGTGTAATTTTTTGTTTCAGACAAGACTGTAGGCTCATTTGTAAAAATGTAAGTAATTTGGGGCAATACTGGGTTTTGTAGAGGGAGGAAAACTGGACATTACCTAATTTTTACAAATGAGTCTCTGGTCTTATTAAAAATAAGATGAATTGAGATAAAATAAATTAAAAATTAAAAATTAGCCACATGACTGCTACCTAACCCATGATGAATTCTTTTTCCATTCGTGACACCCTGACATAAAGACATGTAGGCAGAAAAGGAACTTAGCTACTGTAGTTCATTCAAGAAGTGCAGTACATAACTGCTTTCATGGTTTAATTTTTTGATTTCTACTGAGGCATTTGTTGTGGTATTGTTTAAGTACTAAGTACAGGTTCAGGAAGTAGAGGCGTGTTGAGAATTCTCCGCGTGTTGAGAGCTTTCCGCAGTCTTAGAAGGTAGAAATTTATATCTCTTGAAAAACCAGTCTAACAATAGTAGATATCTCTCAAATGGCATTGTATCATTTTGTTCTTGTACAATTGAGCAGAGGGAAAAAGAAAAACAACACTTGTACATGTTTACCAAGAAGTGATTAGTTTCTGCCTCTTCATTTTTTTTAGAACTAGGGGCACTATAGTAAGTGAAGGTAGTCACTAGGGGCACTATAGTTAGTGAAGGTAGTCACTAGGGGCACTATAGTTAGTCAAGGTAGTCAGTGGTTAATGAGCTTGATTGTCCTTCCTGGGATGGAAAGGAGAGGGTAGGGACTTAAGTGATGGCTGGGCGACCCATGTACATGTACACCTGTTGCATGATTAGCAATGTTGCCTTCATACTTGGCAAACTGCTAGATAAACTAAGATTGAACCAGTACAAGGGCTGCGCTGCTAACAGGCTACCTTTCTTCTTATCAGCATTAGAAAGTTTTGTGTTGAAGACTTGAATCAACTAAGTTCGTCTTGTTTTAAATTGATCCTAGCATCAGTTCCTTGCCTGGGTTACAGATTGTTGTACAGACAATATTACAGTCAGTTCCCGGTGAGATCTTTTTTTTATCTTTTTCTGTTTGTCTTGCGCAAGTGCAAGTTAGTGTTACCGTGAGAAGCTGGTCTATACGGGGTCAGAGTATTTGCCATAGGCGACTAAGGCAGTATGCACCACAACTAGTAACATTTGAATTTTATGAGTGAGTGAATGGGATAAACAAACAGTTAAGAGTGGAAGGAAACCTGGCTTTTCATTACCTCGAATAAGCGTCGGGGTGGAAACTTAAGAATTTGATTCAAAGGAGGGGCGTCTGTTGGAAGTAGGGCGGTTATTGAGTTAGCGCATAAACTGGACAAAAATTAAAAGAACAGGTGACGCACATAAAGGAAATCTGCAAACACATGGCCATAGATAGACAGACAGACGGACGGACGGACGGACAGACAACCTTTATTTTAGCACGATAGTAATAAAAGCTAGGCAGCTCATGGGGTCGTGCATACATACTAAACCTAAGAACAAAATATATATATAATAAGTAACAATATCAAACTACCTAAAATATAAATTGTTAAAAGCTAAGACGTAACCTAAATATAATGGAAATCTTTACGTCTAAAATCTGTGGTTGTTGTAGACTGAGGTCTCTTTGAAAGTCACTCTTTAAGAATATCCATTGAACGGGTTTTCTTCTTCAGGTTTTGATAACTTGTATTAGGAATAGTTTTATCCTTAGAAATTAAAATATTCCATAATACAGGGCCTCTATGAGCAATAGAGTTTTTACCATAAATAGAGCTGAAACGTGGCACCGCTAAGGAGTCTGACGCTCGTAAAGAGTAACCTGTAGGGCGTTTCGTCATAATATTATCGGATAGCACTAGTGGGAGCTTATCATGAAATGCTTTGTACATTAGCTTTAACAGAACTAACTTATAACTATAGCTGAGCGGATGCCAATCAGCTTGTCTTAACACGTCCAACGATCTCATGTCCTTAGGTAAATTAAAAATTATATCCTCGCCGCTCTACAGTACAATCCTTCCAATGAGTCGAAGAGATCTGTATTAAAACACGATCCCCCACAGAACGAGGCCGTAAGTTACTGATGGCAATATGACTCTGAAATAAAAGTTAATAAGAACGTCCTTCGGTAGGAACCTCAATCTCCTAATTAGATATAGCTTCTTTGCGAAACTCTTCTTGAGATCCAACATGTGCGGTACCCAGGAGAGTTTATCATCGACTGTTATACCCAGTAGCCTGGACGAGACTTGTTAACCCACTTTATGGTATCGGTACTTATGTGGATTGGCGCCACTGGCCTCGTAATTTTGGTTTTGCAAATTAACATGGCTTCACTTTTTTCCGGATGTGGGAAACATTTGTACAGCTAATCTAAAGCTTTATCCAATTGAGCTACCGCTTCATCAGCCGTTTGTTTGATACAGTAGATCGTTATATCATCAGCGAATAAGTAGACGGAGCCTGACTTCACACTTGGCGGTAGATCGTTAACAAACAAAGAGAACAGTGTAGGGCCGAGCACTGATCCCTGTGGTATACCGACGGATACGGGCATAGTGTAAGAAATATTTCCATTAACAACTGTGTACTGCTTTCTCCCAATTAAGTAATCAGTAATCCAACCCATTGTTTGATCACAAATGCCAAAATTTGAGCGTAATTTCTCAACAAGCAGGAGCTCGGTAGAGTACCCGTGTCGATAATCCCATTGTCTGTCGAAGGATAACTTATGTTCCTTAAAGACGTGATGTACCAGGGAATCATTCACCTCGGATTCTAGGATTTTGCTCTGAGTAGCGATATCGGTCTGTAATTTCCTATCTCTGTCGCATCGTCTTATTAAAGATCTGCGTAAGCTTTGCAGTTTTCCAGCTCAAATAGAGAGACTCCCTTGCAATACTAGTATTGAATAGCCTGTACATGGATGGTACAATATCGTCTCCCGCAAGCTTTATAGGAATTTAGGTGATAAGTTTTCAGGGCCTGATCACTTCTTTGATTTCAGTTCGTTGACTTTCCTGCGTATTCTCTGGGGAGAGATCTTAATTTGGGATAGTAGCGGCGGTGAAGTATCACCCATGTCTGATCTGTATGAACCTGTTTATGCATTTCCAGGTGGTGTTGGTAATTTGGCAGTAATATTTTTACCAATATTAGCAAAGAACGCATTCCTCAGGCCAGCCTTTTCCTTGTCTGTTAGCACTAAGGAATCGTCACACTTTCTCAGTGGCCCAGTGGGTCCGCGTACCTTTGAGCTAGTTGCGCCCTTCACCAGCCTCCAGTAGGCACTCGAACTCTTGACCTCGTTGAACATCTTCGAAAAATATAAACTGGAACAGAAACAAAAAGTTTTCTTCTGTACTGATTTCGCTCTAGTTGAAGCTTAAAAAGTTGTATATAAATTGGAAATAGAAACAGGTTTTCTTCGTGTCCGTCTTTTTAAGAAAGTGAGGGAGGAGGAGTTAGTGATAATTCGAGGGGAAGGGCGCTTTTTTGACATCATGGCCTTGGGAGTGGGCGCTTATTTAGGGAAGGTCGTTTATTACAGTGTGGGCGGAACGTGTACTGTAGCCCAATAGCATTTATTTCCTTCACAGACATGGCGAATATAGTTTTGTTGCTCGTGATAATCATGCTGGTGTTTTCGGTGATTGGCGTCACGTTGTTCAGAGACATTGTTCCGATGTATTTTGGAAATCTTTCGAGTTGTATCCTTTCAGAAATATTTTTTCTTTCATCAACGTCGAAATGATAACCTTTTATTGACTGATCTTTAATAGAAATGATTTGTCACTTTGTGGAAAAAAAATACAGACATCTGTACATCTGTAGAGAGATTTAGGACCGCGTTTACGTGAAACAGCAAACGTCAGCTTGCCCTTTCACGTTTTACGTAAAATTGCGTGAACCTTGCTGCAGCTACAGCTTCGCGTGAGTTCGCGTCATGGTAGATTTGAAGGCACCTTGTATGACTTAAAAGGAATGGTTTTGGTGCCCTTTTTCCGGCAATTAACTTCTATTCTGTGAGAGAAAAAGTGAAGAAAATCTTACGTACACGGCAAACGTGAAACAGGTTACTTTCACGTAGAAACGGCAGAGTATAACCGGTAAACGTGAGAAAATGACGGGAAAATGTGGTAACCTTGGCCACTCTTGCCGTTCACGTTTCACATAAATGCGGTTCTAAATCTCTCTAATAAGTATGCTTTACTCCGGTCACATCATTGTTCGTGAATATAAGCAATATTGGGTCACCGCTTGTGCGCTTGGAGCCCAGCTATGATTTCAAATCGCAGAACATCTTTTCTCCGAACATACGAGTTGCAATGACTTAACTTCTCTCAGCCATGTTTTATCTCTTTGTTTGTCTGACTCAAGAGGGCTGGATGGAGATTTTTAAAGCATTCCAGGTAACTAGGTGAAAACTGTATTGGCATGTACAACTTTCAAATCATTTGACGTATGGCAGTACTACGGTATAAGGGTTATTATCCTGGACTCTTTTTTGTTTGATTGTTTTGCATGTTTATTTCCTGGAGGGGGGAAGGAACTTCTTAGAGAGGATGGGCTTCTTACAGTTTTTATTAGATTGTGTTTTAACTGTTGTTGTGTCGTGCAGGATGTTGGAGAGACATACTACATTGGTGGAGGACTCTTCCTTCTTGTATTCATAGCAATTGGTGCGTTTGTTTTTGCCAACCTTGTTGTGGCTGTCGTGGTAACAAATCTGGTTAGTTATAAACGCTGACTGTAAGATACTTTAATGAAAGCTTCAGCGTATCTAGCTGTACTCCGGTACAAACCTAGTTTCTCAACCTAGAAACCCCAACATCCGTTTTGGACAGAAAGTAACTTCGTGAAAGTGTAGTGCGATCGTCCGGGTGAGTGTAGCCCTGAGAGAGACTGTTGTCAGTGGTGGTGACTGACGTTTCAATAACCTGTGCGGATGTCATCATAAGAGTCAAGTGAATAGTTGTTGTCAGTGGGATGATCGTAGTCCAGTTCGTGTAAAATGATTGGTCAGTTTTGCTGTGACGTTATTGACTGTAATACTCAAGTGGCATAAGTCGGTAGTGACCGGTCTGTTTCAATCCGTTAGTAAAGTTAGGTAGTTTTCGGACTTAAGCGGATTTCGTTTTACAGAACGGCTACTAGAGTTTGAAAGTGTTTTATTTTCACTGTTAACTTGACTTACTCACTCAAACTATTCATGTTCAAACAGGAATTTGCCATGGTGGATGTGAAGACCGAAGGAAAAGATCGGGGAACTGATGACCTTAAAGCCAAACTTGACGAAGATGGTAAGTTGTTCCCAGGCACGCAAAAAAGCTTTTTAATTGTAAAGTTCCCGATCTGACTAATCGGAGCTTTTAGTTTGTTTTAGAAAACTTAAAAATAAAACAAACAACTTAAAATAGAGTAACTATGACTGGGGATGAAAGGGCTAGCCGCTAGGGAAGATATTGGTTATTTGAGACCGAGTCGGATTATCGAAGCCCTGAACAATAATAATTTAATAATATTTATTTTGCGCAAATTAACATTTGGATATGATCAAATGCGCATCACAACACTTTTCGGGGGACTTTGGCCGGACTGCATCACCAGTTTACAATCAATCGAAGGAAACTTATTTGAAGATGCCCCCCAGTAAACAGGCCGAAACCACATCACAGTAATCTCGTGAGTGGGTTCTTTAACGTCCCCACCCCCCGGGGTTCGAACCCTCAACCTCCCGCACATCAGTCTGGCGTTCTAACCAATTGAGCTAACCGGGAGGCGTTAAAATGACTCCACAGAGTAAAAATCATGCCTCTGGTAACACAATAATTTCCTGCCGTTAATCATCTATAAACGATCTTGCAACTTTGAGGATCACACAATTAAACTAAAAAATCCACAAACCACCACTGATCACATCATTTTGTACCTGCATCGGCCAAATACTGGACACAGCGAACTATAAAGACTTAATGATCGGTCAGTTGAATTTGTGTAGCCCGAGCCCACTGCGTGGCTAGTGGCTTAAGGGCGCTTGAGACCGAGAAAACGGGAAGTGAAGCATCAAAAAGAAAACGATGACATCATGTATTCCGTCTTAAACCCCTCACGACCTCGTCTCCCTCGCAGCCGTTTTTTTGTGTGTCACGCAACGCTTCTCCAAAAAAATGCGGAGCGTTGCGTGACATCCAAAAAACGGCTGCGAGGGAGACTACTCACGACCTCGCCTTTCCTTTGCTCTGCTTCCCCTCACAGAACTTCAAGGCACTCACGAAACTGGTAACTCTAAGGCTAGTATTTTTAATTTTCAGACACCACTCTGAAGACTGTGGGAGTTGAAGAAGTTCCAAGTTTTGTGTACTTGAAACAAATGCCGTTTCAGTTACCGGTGAGATCTGACTTATTGAAAGGAAATAATTTAAATATATCAACAAAGTTGAAATGGTAAATTGGCCACCGTTACGATTATAAAAGCTGACGTTTCGAGCGTTAGCCCTTCGTCGGAGCGAATAGAGGAATTGTGGGTTGTGTGTGCTTTTAAAGGCAGAAAATGGAGCTACGTTATTGGTGGGAACATGGCAAGGAGAAAAACACGAATAAATTAGTGGAATGAAAAGCGTTCGTTGATCCCAGTGGGATTTAGACTGCCGGTTTGAAAAATGAGCTTTTATTCAAGAGTTTTACGGCTTTCCGTGCTACCTAAGTGTAAGGAAAGACCGCAGATTGCCATATGTTGCTTAGAATGGTTAGGTAAATTAAAATGTCTAGCGACTGGTTTCGATGTGTCCCTTATTGAAAGGAAAGTTCTTTTGGTATAAAAGGTCTTCAACTTCATGGACGAAAATTTAGTTTACTGCAAAGTTTGCGAAAGNTGTTGGTCCGGCCGGGGCTCGAACCCTCGACCTCCCGCACAACAGTCCAGCGCTCTATCCATTGAGCTAACCGGGAGGCAAGAACTTTTATTCAAGAGTTTTACGGTTTTCCCTGCTACCTAAGTGTAAGGAAAGACCGCAGATTGCCATATGTTGCTTAGAATGGTTAGGTAAATTAAAATGTCTAGCGACTGGTTTCGATGTGTCCCTTATTGAAAGGAAAGTTCTTTTGGTATAAAAGGTCTTCAACTTCATGGACGAAAATTTAGTTTACTGCAAAGTTTGCGAAAGAGTAAAATTTTTCTCGGACTTCGCTCACCTTTTTTTAATTCGGTAAGTTTGATTGATCCAACAAAATAATAGTCTGACGAATATCTCCCATTTAAAACGAATGCAAATATTTCCTCATTAGTGCAAGATTTGCGAAATGGTGAACGAAGTTTATTGAAACCTAACTTGTAAATTATTTTGCTATTAAGAGAAGTATTACAACCAGGACAGCGGCTGGTGTTGGGGAAAGTTTCAATTTAACAATTAAGTTGTATTTTGATTTGTTTCGGGCACAATTTGTGAGGAGAAAGGATTTCAGTTCTTTCTCCTGGAGTAAAATGTATTGATGGATGGTTACATAAATATGTTTGGTCCCTCCCTTTATTAAGTTTTTTTTTTTGTCTTGATTTACAGGACTTGACACAAATTTCTGCTGAGAAACTAGAAAATTATTTCCTTATTTTGAGCGCGATTGAAGAAAATCTGGGAGAATCGAATAAAATAAAGGCAGAAATCAATGAGGTAGGAAGAGAGTAATAGGAGAAATAGGAATAGACGTGGACCGATCCGTGAACGTGAAGTAAAATGGAGTAAGTACTTCATTTACCGGCCCTTGCCTAATTAAGCTAATTAGGCAGCTGTTTGTCACCTGTTGGCCCTTCCTCTTCTAAGGTCTCTTTGAATATCAATATTACGCTAGCTCTTGTTGTTTTGTCTATTGTGTAATCATAGCGCGCATAGCTAGCGCTTTTACTTTTGAAGGGCGCCACGTTGGTGCACGTGCTATTGAAAAATTGGTGACTACCAGAAATATCGTGTATTCTAGATTATTTTATATGAGATAGTTTAAATTGAGCGCGAAGTTCGCGCTAAAGAGGAGGCTTTTGGACATACGTATTTAACGAAGTTCGCTGAAGCTTCTCAGAGAATTTCTAAGTTCAATTCGTGTTATTGTATACTTGGAAGTCTGAGAATTAAAAGCCTGAGGAAGTTTTTACACTTGTTTTTAAATCAACCAATATCCCCTATTTAATACTTTTCTGTCTTCTCGTCACCATTTTGCTCGAAACTTCTTGAAACAAAAGAATTTATTATATCCCTGATGAACAATGTAAGGAGAAGTGTCTTTTTAGACACTTTCAGAAGTGAAATGATTCATCGCTAGCGCCTATGTTGCTATTTGTGATAAAGGATTTGGACAGCTGTTTTTTAGTTTTTGTTTAACCGCTCGCATGTCTACTCTTTCTTCAGATACTTTGTGAAGTGTCCGAGCTACAAGAGAAGGCGAAGAAGGAAGGGATCCTGAAGAATGACAATGAACCTGATGTCACCAAAAACAGGAGCGACGATAATTTTGTGGTATGGAATTTGCATTCTTCTGGGGAACACTTAAAATCCGAAGGAAATCGTTAGATTTCTTTTTAGAGAAAAGGAGGGAATCTTGTCTTTTTTTTATCGAACTCTTCATATCCAACTTAACTCCTCTTCAAGCTAAATGAAATCTGTTCATATTGTTCAAGCTAAGCTGAGACTATTCTTGCATGATTTGAAAGAACGCCATCCACCTGTTAAATATAGACAGTACGTTGACTATTTAGAGTAAGGGAAAAGTAATCAGAACATGATGACAATTTTGCCGTTTGACGTTATATTGCGTGAGATGTTTCCCAGTTTATTTTGTTTCATGATGTTTTTTTTCGCCATAGATGCGCTTGGGAGAGTCATCTATGGATTATTTTATTATTTTCACATTTTTAGGCATCTGAAAGATTCTCTACATTGTCGCGCATTATGTTCAGCAGATAACTTCCATATTTTAGATCACGCCTCTACCGGCTTTCAACTTAAAATAAAAGAGGCTATTCATATTCAAATAGAACAACCATCCCTGAATCAACAATCACACCATGTAAATCTAAATCAGACATGGTTTGATGCTACTCTGGTATAAAGATTAAACCAGAGAAGCATCAGTCCATGTCTGATTGTCCACCTGGTTGCTGTGTGAACTTTAATGTAAATCACTCCACACTCTAGTGTGGGTTACTTGGCTGTAGAGTAGACTATACCATTTTATCCAATGATTAACAATGTTCGCACGTCCTCAGCCCCCACAAATAACCGGTGGTGACTTGATGTCGAACCTAATGGAGATGGAGCAAGGTAAACTATTTGACTCGCGCAAGGATACATTGGGGTCCATTCTGCGAGAGGGAGCAAAACTGATGAGCACGGTCGCACAGAGGAGAAATACATCTGATGAACGGAGGAAGTCCTCCGTACCGGCTAAATTTTTTCAATAAGGGTTGAACACTTAAAGCTTTTAAAACCTTGTCGAAGAGTATATATTAAAATCGGACTTGAGCATACGCAGAGCTATAATCCCATTGCCTAGCTACCACTGTGACGTACTTGACTTCATTTTTATGTTGATCATCTGTTATATCATTTGAAAATGAGTTTCCAACAGTTTTTCATGGGAATTTTTAAGGGTTGTTTTGTCTTAGAATGATCTCAAATTTTAATAAACTTTCACGTGACCTTAGAACTGTTACATATCTGTTTTCCTGATGGCTGATCAACTTAAATTAACCAAATCTACATCGTCTGTACGGAATGGATCACACTGATACTGCCGGACGCGTTAGGCATTTATTAAATCTAAGGTAGATTTATTACTAATTATCGAACTGTATGGATCCGTCAGACTCATACTGGTCTAGGCACCCGTGGAATCCTTTCACGGGACATGAACTAAACACTTTAGTTTCGTATGCGTCCCAACCGGACTGTTTTCCAGTCGATAGCCAGTGCTCGGCGTGTCTATAAACCTCCTGACCGTAGCGATGTCTTACATAAAGCCCCGGATTGCAAGGAGCGCTTAACCAGTTTCCGCTAAAAAGGACCTTCGTCGGGAGGTGCTCATTGGCGAGGAGCTCTCTTGGGTTCATCCTATGCTGACCATACATCTGAATGGACCATCCATCAGCTAGTAGCTCAATCTTTCCACCAGCTTGAAATCCTTCTACACAGCACCATGGTTTCTCTGAAAAGGAATGTAAAGCTGAAAGGATGGCCTTAGTCATGGAACCTTCTTTTCGAATTCGGCGGCTGAACACCAAACCATTCGATTTTGTTCTGTGCAGGAAATCTATTCAAGCACCTAACAAGCTGTCATTTCTCGGAGTCTGCAGTGTGCCGTGTAGCTTAGTGCTTTTCTTACTCCAAAAAATTTATCTTAAAATTTGGACAACAAAAGAGAGACTGTTGTTCATGGCCACCAGTGGGAATATGCCTCCTTTCCTTCTTGAAATACGCAGATTAATTTTTGTCCTTATAATATCAGAGGTTACTTGTTCTTTTTGTCATTGATAGAGTCTCGATTCAAGTCGCTTTGATTGTGACTACCCAACAGAAGATTTACAGGTTTGATATTGAAACCGAATGTAAGATAAATGCTGTTGTACTTACTTATTTCACGGACCACATATCTCTGCCTGGTAAACGCGTCTTTTATCTTAACTATTCTTGGAAAATCTGCGGTAAGGAAAGCAATGTCAGCATCTCTTTCCCAAGGCAACACCTTGTTGAATTTAACAGCGCCTAGCAATGTTCCTTCTTGCAGCTCGCAAGTTATATTATTTCTTTCGCACTGCTCCATCACAAATTTTATTGCATCAGCTAAATTCTCCAAACAACATGGTGGAACGACAAATCCTGACCTCGAGGGACATTTTTCTCCTTCACGATGCTTTACAGCCCTTCTACAACCAAACCATCGAACTTTGCCATCGGCTTCTACTATCTTTTTAATGCTGTGTTTCTTTGCAAAATTTACGAGGTCTTTGTCCAGCACCGGAAAAGGCTGCCAGTGGAACATGACATCCGGGCAACTGACGACCGAGGTCCTTGAGTGACCAAGTCCTAGATGTGAGTTGAAAAATCGATCTTTTACTCTCAAGAATAGTTCTTGGAAAATACCACCATCCCCGCGTGATTGAAATCCAAATTCCTTCAACACGGATGTTTTCGCCATAAATGGACCAGAAATGAAATCGCAAACCAAACATTCACTAAATGAACGATAATAACCGGATTTGTAAGTCAAAGTGTAATTTTTGAGCTGCGTTTGAAGGCAGCCGTGTGACCAGTGACCCGTACGGTTTCTCACACTGCCACCCGCAAAGAGCGTATTTTCATGAGTCGAGAGAACTCTTAGAAGTCTTTCAAGATTAATATCGTTTGTAAAGCGTGTTAAACTGGGTGCAATCAAGATATATTGAGTTTTTATGTCATCTATAATGTGTTGAAGTAGTTCTCCTTTGCTGAACGCGTAGTTTCTGAGAGACTGGATGGAAATTTTGGTGCGTAAATCAAAGGTCAGGTTGCCCCTAAGCGTGTCGATTTCATGTTGATTCCAACTTCTTCCTAGAATAAAATGAGCACGGATTCCTTGATGTAAACGGTACACGCTTTCAAGAAATGTAAAAAACCTATTCATACGACCTGTATGGGTAAAATCCCCCATTTGGTCACCAGTTTCTGTCGTTAAAACAACTTCATCAAAAATTAATGTCACAAGTTCATTTATGTCTCGTTTGACAGAGCATTCTTCAGTTTGAAACCCTTTTCTGTAAAACGGATAACCATAAGTTGATCCTTTATAAACTTCGGGACATACAATCTGCGACTTTTTCACCTGATCTTCGCTGGACCGTCTTCGCCCATCCTCCGAGTCCACATCAGAACTCGTAATAAACTCGATTTCTCGTAGTAGCTGTCGTAGGTTGTCGTAATGACCGTCGATTATTTTCGCCATGGCGATATCGCGATCTACGGACATTCTAACATAAGTCAAATCCTTGGTGAGTCTTCGAAGACGCTGAATTATTTTCTGATGCGCCACGCATAGAGGTTTGTTAAGAACTTTTCTCAACAAAGCGATCTGTGTCTCGTTTTGCAAAATTGTTCGTGATGTATGATAAATGTTGATGATCAAGTATACTATAACCAACAGTATAAGGACTGTCTTCAATTTCCGCTGAATTGTCGACATTCCAAACTGCCCCTTCGGAGCTTTATCTTGCCGCTGCCCCCGAGTTCTGTCTATCCTATATAAATCACCATAAGTCGAAGACAGCATTTCACCAGCGACACCTGGCAGTTCTTGCATGTAACTGGCAAAGCATTGGCAATTGATCGCTGATCCCCTTACTGAGCGATATAAAACAGACCACTCGTTCTTTCAAGGTGATCTTTCCAATTGTGAACTTCATATATTCATCGTATGTCATTCCAATTATGTTTGAGGTCAATCTTTGCTTACCCTACTATAGCGATTAGATGTGGTTCATGCAAATCAAACATGAAGATTTCAACAAAGCATTGTTGCTCGGTCTGTTTACATGATGTTTTCTTGGTACGGTGGAAATTGACCGTGGGAGGAGTGGCTGCTAGCACTAGCATAAGTAAAGAAGCGGTCTAAAGAATAAATATCTAATTAGATTTAAACAATGAAAGCTCCTCTTCCACCTGTTAGTCTTTGTTCTTTCCTCGAAGTTGGTGTTTGTGGGGCGAGAAAAACATGTGCACGTGGGTAGAGACCTCGAGGGCAAGCAAGAACAATCAAAATCAACCTGGGACACCATATCCAGTGATCGAACCCGCGCCGCAGCAACGGGGGTGAGAGCTCTCGCTACTGTGTTATACCTTTCGTTCATACTACAATTGGACTTAACATTCCCCGTCGTCTTCAGAGCGTTTTACAATAACTTTATGATCAGGTTCTCTGTTGTTGAGTCGTTACAAAGACAAAAATGGACAACAGCTCCTGATAAATATATATGTGATTTGTTATTTAATTACTCATAAAATGATATGTAAATTGTACAAAGCAGGAACTACTTAAATTTAGGTGAACATTTTTTTGGTGTTATGAAATTTCATTTGTGAAACTTTAGTATTCTGTAATAAGAATAAAAATATTAACTTATTAAAGTCCTTTAAATAAATTTAAAAGTCCTGTAAATACTTTTTTTTCCAACGTAGTGTCCGTTCTAAGCACAAGCTGTTGATGCACTTGCAATTTTTTTTAGTTCGGCGTGCGCTTGTACGACAATAAACTTTCCTGAGTTTGTTTTAAGAGTTCCTGTCGACATTTTGATGCATGGCGTTGTCAAAAAGTCCTGGCAAAATGATCATACTTTATGACTTGTTATTTTGTTCTGTCAGGTATAGAAGAATACAAAATACGACGATGTTTAAAATCGAATAAAAATGCACTTCAAACATACTAGGTGCATCTCCTTTTCTGTGTGACCTGGCAAAAAATAGAGCAGAATTACTTTGGCTGTAAAATTTTCTCAAAAAAAGGTATCCATAAATTATTTGGTTTTCAAAATTTGCGGAGATCGACCCTACTGCAGATGTTAAAATCTTGAAATTAAGACATCAGCATGGAAATCCGAACTTATCTCTCGGCAAAACATTGGAAGTCCTGTGATCTTCCGCCCAAATCTTCAGATCACTTTCGGAGACCTTTACAACCGTTTTTGGTCCTTGATTATTGCTGACGATTAACTTTAAATCAGTTTCTACTGCTCTCCACGCCAAAAAAAACAAAATACTTCTTCTATAAATATCCAGTCATCTACCTCACTAAAACTACATTTCAACATCTAACGCATCTGATATGAATTGGTCATTACTATAGTCAGGGTTTTCTCAGCTAAACTTTGCAGCAACTTCAAAAGCATTTCCTGTGCACAATTTCTGGTCCCATTTCGTCGTACTCTTGCACAGAAATACACATCTGTGGGAAGGTTGAGAGTCCAGCCAACACGGCACTTCCGCTCCATACAGCGTACTTCCGGTCATCCGGGCTCACAACCCTGACCCGGCCAGGGTCACGTGGATTAACAAGAGTTGCTATCTCCTTATGAAGGCGTTCAGGAAGTCCAGGTAACATGGTACTTCCACCTTTAAAGAGAAGATAGCTGGTCAAGAAAGACATTGAAGGCAATTCAAGAAGACAACTTAGCCTGAAGTGCTTGCGATTCTTGGCAGGCGAGCGCTCGGTACTTCTTCGTGGAAAGAGGGGGGCATTGGAGAAAAAAAGTCATCCAAAACCGCAAAACCGCAAAAAGATTCGATCAAAACCGGAAACCGCATGCAAAACGGTTAAAACCGATACATTTTGACATCCTAGTTATTAAAACCCCTAAACGATCCGAAACAGTCGTGACAAGAGGAGCATACAGAGGTTTCGCGGCAATACGAGATCAGGGGGCGCCTAATTGCTGCTCAGATCGAGAAGAAACCGGAACTTAAATAGGAAAAACCGAAAAGTACATCGGATACCAAATGCGAAAACCCGCAAACCGCAATGAACACCAAAACCTGAAAAACAGAAGCTTTTTGGCACAAAAAGCGAAAAACCGCTCTAAAGAAGAACCAAAACTGCAAAGCGAAAATCACAATGCCCCCCTCTGGAAAGTATGGGTGTTTACAGCAGAGAAAGTTTGGGAGAGGAATGTAGAGATTCATACCATGGGAATGGACAATAGACGTGAGGAAAGAGGGTGGATCTGACCTCCGAACTTGTAGCCCTCACTCAAATTTCATGTCGAGACGCCTGCAAGGCAGAATGCTTCTAATCTCTCGGTGATGAAATTCTCATTTCACAAGAGTGTTCACTCTACGGTGCCGTACACACGAGAAATGACCTTGGTATAACTGTTTTACGCTGAGTGAATTACGAACAAGTCTTACCTGATAGTAATACGTTTTCAAGTAAGTCCTTCCTAATGTCAATGTCGCATTTCTTGATACAGTTGTAAATGGACTCGTGTATTCCAACCATGTCCATGCCAAGCATGCTGGGATTGAATAACACTTCTGGGCAGCGAAATCGCTCATTTGCCACGCGTATGGACTGACCGTCAGGAAGCTGATGAATAACAAGAGATAGGATTTCAACTTTACTGTGCAGTGAAGTATGAGCTGTATTTGATATAAAAAAGGAGCATCACGAACTAGGGTCCATTACATACCATATATAACTCCTCAAATTTGTCACTCGTCTCAGACTCCTGCAGTTCGCGCTCAAAATCAAGGGCCACATAGGCAAGCTTCTCCTTAATGTCCCGTATGATCTCCCTTTCCGCCGTAGTCGTAAACGAGTAGCCCCGTTCCGTAAGGATCCTCATCATATACTTGGTGAGGTCCCTTCCTGCGAGGTCCATTCTTTGTGTGGCGTGAGGGAGCCAGTAGCCCTCGTACACTGGAACAGTGTGGCTGACCCCATCACCACAGTCGAAAACGGTGCCTGAGTTACAAGGGGGAAAAATGTCAACGGAATAAAGGGGCTGGGGCTTTCCTGAGGATAATGAATCTCTTATAAAGGCCTTTTATAAACAGTTTTCCTCTGAAAATGTTACTTTTATGCTTGCTGTATCTAGCCTTCAAGATGTTACATAAAATGTTACGAGCATCTGGTCTCATCAGCCCTCCACGTGAAACAGGCTTGGTTACTTCTAGATCTACTTAGGATCTGCGAGGGCGATAGTATCTTAATAGGTTCTGTTTTTGAGGGAAGGGTGGAGGAGAGAGAAGCTCAGTCCTAGATGTTCAAAATGCATCATCAATCTCTGATCACCAGGTTAATGTCGAATTTCATTTAAAGAGTTTCTATCTTAATCAATATTTACCAGTAGTTCGCCCCGTAGAATACAGAGCCATGACAGCCTGCACAGCTATGTACAGACATGGCACCTCAAATGTCTCAAACATGATCTGTAGCATACGCTCTCGGTTATACTTTGGGTTCAAGGGCGCCTCTGTCAACATGACCGGGTATTCTTGGGACGGGACTCGCAGCTGGTCATAAGTGTAGCTCCAAATCTGTGATATAAAAAAATTGCCAAAATAAATACATACAAAAAAAAGAAGTTCAAATGTCACGTTACCAATGACGCTACCAGGGGATACTGCTTACAGATATAAGCCAGTAAATATAGTTAAAAAATTCCCAACTGATTCTTGCTTGAAGTTCTGCATAAGATTGAAAATTGGTCCTTTTACCACGAACTAAGACAGACAGACAGACAGTCAGACAATCGGACAAAAAGGCACATTGGCAATGAGTCAAAGCCCACAGGACCATTCCAATCAACTAAAAGGAAAACTTAAGCGGGCAGTAAACTAGTATGGCAAAAAAGAACAAAGATAGCAACAAACCGATTCCATGTCATCCCAGTTCATTACAATCCCATGCTCCAACGGGTACTTGAGAGTCAACACACCGCGCATGTTTTGCGCTTCATCGCCGATATAGTGATCTCTGTAATCTTGCATCATGGCTTCCTAAAAATTTTGAACCAAACAAAGACTAGTATTACATATTAATATTTAATTTTCTTCATTCATTAATCAACTACCTAAACATCTCTTTGAAAAAGAGTTCCTATGTTGATGTTGTGCAGTCATGTAAGGAAAAGACAAATTTGAGTTGTCCTGTACTACTTATTTAGATAATCTTTACAGAAACACGCCGCCACATGAATTCATTAACTTTTTTAATCGATCACTTCTTGAAACTGACCTGATGTCGAGGTTTACCAACGACTGCTGGGAAGACCACTCGCGGCTGCTGTTCATTAGAAAAACCAGCTTTGCAAAAACCCGAACCATTATCGATCACCGCAACAACTCCTCCACAACGCTCCTGTGAAGTATAACATTAACTGTTCGTCAAAAGACTGCCTTGTTTCTGGGTAACAAATAAACTAAAGCATCAAAATAAACTAAAGCATTACACGCCTTTCGGCTCAGATCCATAATTAACACGAGACTACACTAACCAATTTCGCATGACGCGCCCCACAGCCCAGCAAACTCAAACTACGGCTTAAAACAATAATAAGCTACGAACGGTGCACCAAGTAAAAAAAGATACACGGCGACATTGGTCATTAACCTCAATTTGCACCGTCTGCAATCTCGGCATTTTCACTTGGTTTTCTCTCATCTTCCCCAGTAACTTTTGCCGTTTGCTACCTTTAACGATCAAGATTCCAAACTTTTTTCGTTACAAGTTTGTCAAGTCTGATACTCACAAACGCATAATTGTGTTCGCTCGCAACTGCCGCGCTCACGGGCGGTGCGGGGGCACTGGTACGAGTTGACACAGTCCACAATACAGGGGCTTTCTCTTCTTCATCAGAGCCCAGAGTCTCTCGGTCATCAGACGCCTCAGCGACTACAAGTTTGTGTTCATCTTCCTCTTGTCCTGAGCTCAGTGTGTCTTCAGAGTCACTAGTGCCAATAATATCAAGAAGATCGTCTTCCTCATCAGCTTTGCTCGTAGAAACAGGAAAGTTCAGAAAAGAGGCAACGTCATTTGAACGTTCAACGACTTCTGATTGGTTCTTTGTAGCTGGTTCTTTTTGCTGGTATTCTACTTTTTTCGACTCTTTAGCAGCCAGTGTCATTTTTTCGAGTTGCTCGAATTCTTCGTCAGAAGCTGTCTTTGATGATTCTTCAGGCGACTCATCACCTTTGTTCTCAACTGTGCTTTGAGCCTTCTGTTGGTACAACGCTTTCTCAAGCTGCTCAAACTCACCATTAGAAGAATCACTCAACGATTCCTCAGCCAGCAGCCTGCTCTTCTTCTCAGCTTCAAGGCGGGCTTTTTCCTCGTACAATAATCTTTCGATTTCTTCGAACTCTTCGTCCGAAGATTTTTTCGTCATTTCCCTTGTTCCCATTCCCTCATCTCCACTGTCACTCATCTCATTCTCAATCTCTCCCAACCTCGCCACGAGTTCCCGGATGTTAGCGGTGGTGTCTGTTAACAAAGTGTCTTCCAATTCATCGTCTTCACCTTGGTCACTGACATCATCGATTTGCTGTTTACCTACAAGGCGACCATTTTCTTTTAAATCATCAGTGACATTGTATTTGAAATCCTTCTGCTCTTCCTCATGTGGGCTGGTATCAAATCTCTCAATCACATCTTCATCACTATCCGACTCGGCCACGTAATTCGGTTCAGCGTTAGTAACAAGACTAGAATTTAACTCCACAGAATTACTTCCCCTCCCTTCAGCGGAGAACCAACCTAAGTCTGTTGCTGAAGATTCCAGTTGATCTCCTTGGGGTATGTCCAAGGACTCCACATGATCTTCAACGGGTAGGTTCGAAGCTACATATTGACCGTCTTCGGATACATCCAAGGATTCCACATGATCGTCTTCGACTACATCCGAAGATACCAGTTGATCATCTTCGGGTACTTCGGAACTGTCTCTCGAATGTTCTGGCGAAGACATATCAATAGATCCAGACTTGAGCAGCTCTATGAGTTCATCCTCTGGTGAAATTTTACTCTCCTCGCTCACAAAATCGCACTGTTCAATGTCAATATCCTCCAGCTGGCTCTCTGTGGGAGAGGAATGTCGATCACGAATGAATGTCTTCGATTTGGTGCGCTCTTCCCCCCAAACAATGTCTTTTTGGTTTGACATAACCTGCGATTGTTGGGAAAGGTTTTGGTGATACATCTCAATCTCTTCCTCATCCTCTTCCTCTCCAACATTATCAGTAAAATCCCGCAATTCGTCATGCTGTGATTCTGTATTTACTGTTTCCTCAGCTCTGCTGACCTCGTCAACTGGTTCAGTGTTCGTTTTAGAACGGAAATATGACAGGCGCTTCTGGCGGATGTCCTGAACCTCTCTGTCAGTTGCCTCACACTCCTAACAACAGAAATAAAGAGGAACAATTGTTAATCTGTATGAAAGTTAGTCGGGGTACCGGTGGTAAACTTTAAATCTTCGATTCCTTTGACTAAAAGAGGAAGACGTCGAGGCACTACAGGTGAAAGTGCTTGTTTCTGGCTTAAAGCCTTTACTGTGTCATTGTGATACGTTCCTTTTAAATATCTTTTAAAAACTCAGCGCCTTACTCTCACAAGACAAAGCGGATCGAAATGTCTGGGTTCGAGACCTAGCCAGTTCATTGTGTTATTTTCTGCGGCAAGACACTTGACTCCCTGCGACTTGTTGAGAAAACCTTAGATGTTAAAGGGGGGGAGGGAGGGGGATAAATTACGACGAACAGATATCTTGTCCAGGGGAAGTAGAAATTCACTAATACTTACATCGTACCAAAGAAACCTGGTTAAGCTTCGCAAGGCATGTGAAAGTGAATCTCACAATCTCACAGTGAAAGATTTTCTTACCTCGTCTGCTGACCAGTCTTTTTCTTCCACCTGAACCGCCTCTACAATTTGAGCGAGATTCTGACGCATGCGCTCTAGGTTCTCTTGCTCCGCTAGTTTTTGCTGTCTGATCCATTCGTTCCGCTTCTCTTCTTCCTCCTTTAACCGACGCTGTTCTTCCATAAATTTAATCTCTTCCCTCTTTAGACTGTCTTGTAACTCCTTTTGTTCTACTTCTAGCTTTTCCTTGAGTTTAACGACTTCGTGATCGTCAAAACTTGCCTCTTTGAAAGCGGCGGGCTTTTTCCTGTCATTCATATGAGAATGAACATCATCGTTGTTTACTATTTGCGCAGGCTGCTTTCTGTTTCTTTCGCTTCGTTGCTTAACAACCATATGACTAACAGCTGCTTCAACGTCTCGTTCCAATCTTTCATCACCTTCCGGATGGACTTGAGAATCAGCAGCCTCGATTCTACGCTCACTGGTACCTGATTCCGGGAGCTTCCTTGCCGCAGCACTGCCGTTTTCAGCGTGCTGCAAACTTAAATCATGAGTTCTCACGATCCCATCCATCGGTGTCCTCGCAAGATTGGCTTTTTCCATTGGCTCGGGCGTTTCCACCTCATGTCTCAGTCTAGGATCGAAATCCACTCCTTTTGGAAACTGATCGCCATTATTTAAAGTCTGAGTTTCTTTACTGGAAGAAGGAGGCTTTACTAAAGTCACTGCTGACGCATTTGTAACGTCTTGAGAATGATAAACGTCATTCCCTCTTGCTGTATTTGGGTATGCATTTTCTGAACCATAACCGTACAACGGAGAAGCATTTGTCGAAGAATGTAGCACAGGATTTGTGGACTGATATCCAACCCCACGTGGTGTATTTGAACCGTTCATTAAGGGAGCTGGGGCGACAGGAGTAAGTGTGTGCTGATGTTGTTGTCGAGGTTGAAACTGATGGCCAAACTGATTGAAAGGTACCGAAGGACTCCCGTAATAAGTGGTCCGCAATGCGTGCACATTGTGCGGTGAGCGCGCATAATCCGGATTCGAGGACACCATGCCGTTCTTCAACAACCATTGAACTTCTTGTTGGGATAAAGATTGAAATAAATCCGCGATGGCTTTTTCTGTTTTACTGAGCTCCTCTTGCGAGTAAAAATACTGCTCTTCCACATCTTGCCGAACGAGAGAATCGAGTTTCTGTGAAAGGATGTGTCGGCGACTTCTGATCTGGCTCATCCAGTATATTTCCTGTTTCTTTAATATGCAAAACTGTTGAACCTTATCTAGTGATACACCTTGGTCTGCCGGTTGATGTCTCTGCACGGATGAAATTCGTGGACTGTTTTGAAGCGATGAGGAATTGTTTTCCTGTGCGCAGTTATTTGTAATGCCAGGGTTGTGCATTCCTGTACGATAGCCGTTTAGAAGCATTCTTGAAGATCGTCGACGTTCACTCCTGTGTGGGTCATTTGAACTTTCTGGTGAAAAAGAATCGTGTTTTAATGGCGCCGTATCATCCTCATCCTCCTTCAACAACGACACCTCTCTGAATAACCCTTCCACCTCACGGTCCACTGAATCATCCGACGTCAGTTCCGGTCTAGTTGTTGAGTACGCAGGACCGGAAGTTAAATTATCAACCACTTTTTGACTTTTTGAATGCGACAATCGTTTTATCTGGCCACTTCTCCTTGGATGAGAACTTGCTACGATTTTTTCGCCGAGCCCAACAAGCCGGCTCGAATAATAATCGTCATGTGATAAAGACCCGTTCGTGTAGCTTGGATTTAACTCTCGTAAATCGAGTGGAGGAACAAGATTTTCGCTCATTTTCTTGAGTTGTTCTAGTTCTGTTTCAAGTCTCATTTGTTCCTGAATTAAGTGTTCCATATTACTCGATGTTTCTTGAGTCTTTTTAAGTTTCTTTCGCTCTGGCTTTTTAGGCGCAAAATTTTTAGTTGCTACTTGAGAGTCTACGGACGAGTTTGACGTCACATCTTGGCTCCTCACAATCTCCCTCTTAGGAGAGTGTTTGTACCCAGTCCACCCGTCTAGATTATCACTGGGCTTTATTTCACCATTATGGTTCAGGTACCTGCCAGTCACCCCTGGAGGACAGATTTGACTTTCTAATCCGTCCGTTGTAACTCTGCGCCCCACATTGTTCATAGAATAGGACTGGTACGAATCTCGATTGTTGGATTGTAGCCCTGAACCCGCGTACTGCTTTCGTTCCAAGTCCCTCAGGGTACCGTTTACAGCCGATGAAGGCCCCCTCCCGGGAGGGGTCGGGAGAATGAGGTTTCCTGGAGTTGAGGAACGATCACCTGACCTTGGGTGGCGCGACACATCCCTGTTATTTATGATTCTGCCAGGGGAGTCCTTGATTCTACTATAATAAGGTTCATCTCTAACCTGACCGTTGAATTTCCTGAAATTTGAAAGAATCCAATCAACGAAGTGAGATTTAAATTATTTAAAAATAATAATAAATTAAAGTATGTTTACCTAGTCCTATTACCTTTTTTTAATAGCCGCATTTACAGTTATACGTTTTCTGAACAAACACACTTGAGTGACTCCTTGACTTATTCGCTGTTTACAAAAGCAAATGAAACCTACTGAATGAAAATTTCCCATAATTAAGCCCTTTAATACTATTAAGTAGGTATTTCGATTTATTGTCGTAAACCAAAGCTAAAGTAATCATAGCAGTCAATCAGAAGAAAGGTGAATACCCTGAAGAACCGAGGAGACCTCAGAGTAAAACAAGCCAACTGCCACAAACACGGGGAAACGCAACCGAAAAAGTCTTGAAAACGAATACATTCCCCGCGAACACCCACCTATCCCACCCCAGGGGAGGACATCCACCACACAGTAATCTCGTGCGTGGGAAATTAACGTCTCCTACCCCTACCCCTGCAAGAGACGGGGCCTACGGTTTATTCGTCCTTATCCGAGAAGACTAGAATATCTATCCATTTCTTGATATTATAGAAAGGTAGCAAATACTCCTCAGTTATTTTAAGACCATGAGTATTGGTCCAGCAAGAGCTCGAACCCTCGACCTCCCGCACAACACAATCCGACGCCCTAACCAGTTGAGCTAACCGGGGGGCGATTACCTCAATTGCACTATATGCCAAGTGGCCTTGACAAGCCCCTTCCACCGAAACTGGAATGTAAATTTTCAGCCAGTTAGACAAGTAAACTTAATGTAACTTTCAATCAACTCATCTCTCTTTTTCTCTACAAATTTAACAACAAATAAGCAGTTACATTTCAAATCACACCTTGAACTTCGTTCAGGAACTTCAACTCTCCTGCTATCCCCAGGTCCCTCTCTCCCATTCCCAAACTCTACGAAGTGGGTCTCGCGGGCTTGGATAATTTTTTCCAGTTCTTTGCAACGGTGAATCAGCAACTTGGCCTGGTTCCTCTGCTGAGTATCCGGGACTTTTTCCAAGAATGACTCCAACTGCAGAAGTTCCTTGGAGGAGACTGGTGGGAACTTTGCAAGGAACCTGGACAATCTGTCTTCGTAATGTTGTAAGTCGCGATATGAGGCAGGAGATAACACCGAGCTGCTTGAATTTTTGCCAAGAGTTGAGTTCGACGGCCAAAACTCGGCAGCTTTACTATACCATGTGTCTGCCTATAGAATCCAGTCAAAAGTGATTCACTTTCTTTTGATATAAATGTTTACCTTATACTATTATTCGCTTCCTTCAGTATAAGGGACAGAGAACAGTGAATTTTACTTTGCTTGACCCTAGAAATAATTTGAATATATCAACAAAGTTGAAATGGTAAATTGGCCACCGTTACCGTTATAAAAGCTGACGTTTTGAGCGTTAGCCCTTCGCTCCGACGAAGGGCTAACGCTCGAAACGTCAGCTTTTATAACCGTAACGGTGGCCAATTTACCATTTCAACTTTGTTGATATATTCAAATTATTTCGTTACCCCCGCCGACGCAGCGCCAAACAGTTTCTTTAGAAACTATCAGCCTTTATTCAATTGACCCTAGAAAGCTCAGGAGTGACCAAAAGTAAATATCTGCCTACATTATCGACACATTTCCAAGCAGGAAGGTAGGGAAGGGTAGGTAGGGAAGGGAAGGTAGGGCGGAATAAAGGATAATAGCAAACAAAGGAGATTGTTTGATTTAAACAAAATGTTATAAGAAAAGTATGGCAGACATTGTCCAGAAAAAAAATATTTTGAAGGTAATAACCCTCGTTGCAGTTGAAACTGGAATACGCTTCAGCAGATATACGAGTCAGTGAGTCTCTGGGCTGCAGGACAGCCATCATATCTCTGCACTTTTCATACAAACACAAGGCGAGCGCAAAGGGCGAGTCACACGTAGGAGTGGGCGTGTGTAAAAAATGTTAACGCTCTTCGTTTCGCACGTAGCTCGCCCTTCGCGCTCGCCTTCCTCGAGCCTCGTGCTAGCTTCCACTTTCCTGTAAAACGAAAGAAAAAAAATTTGGAAAAAATGTGGATTTAGAGCCCGTTTTATTGTTTAACTCTACCTTCATTAAGAGGGTGTAAAAATTAATGGCATCTTCCAACCATTTCTTGGTGTTTTCCACTTTACTGCGAAAGCTTGTTAGATCCGACAAAAGAACTTTAGACGCAGTTTGTAGCGGTCTCTTATCTCGCAGATTTCTCATGCTCATTTCGTTGGCTCTCTCAGCTAACTCTCTACCTTGAGTTAAGACTTCCTGCAAGAAAACAAAAACATCTGGCACATTTTCGTCAGCTTTATTGGTAACTTAGTATGCTTATTGTATCACGCGAATATGCCAGCATAGCTAACAAGCCTTGCAGATGTTCTCCATGTGTTCGCTTTCTAGTTAGGTAAGAGACTCCTACTCAAAACTGAAGACAACAAAATCATTTGATTAGTTTCATCATTATGGTTACTACTTGTCTCCGTATTTGTTTCTTTTTTTGTTAATAAAAGTTTTTGAAGACTTCTGTCACATTTTTCTACACTCACACAAATTACTGAGGCGATGACAGCAAAGAAAAAACCTCACAAAACAATACAATTATCAGCATTAGGAGACAAAGAATTATCAAACCTTCACCAGTGGATGAAACTCGCGGTCAAACTTTGCTTTGTTTTGATTGGCTGTGCGAAGGGAGACACATCCTTGGGAGAATTTGTTTAACTGATCTTCAGCATCACCGCGTATCCACTTCACTAGCTGCAATCGGACAAAACAGCATTTTCACAAAAGCCAAGACACGATTTGTTTATCTTGAAAAGGTCAGCCTACCATTTTCATATCCATGTTAACCCTTGAACTCTTAAGAAAGTGAACCAAAATAAATCCATTTGTCTTTACTATAATCTATACATTTTCAACCAGAAAGGTTAGAAAAAGAAAGAAGAATATCGACTAAAGGACATCGTTTGATATAACAACAAATTCTCGTCGCTGAAATTGTAAGAAATGTATAGCACGCAGTATGGAGAATTGACCCATAGAACTCGGGTGTGAACGTCTTATCTTCTCCCCTCGATACTCATTCATTTTTGCACTATTCTTCCCTCTGCCTTTGTTACCCTTCTAAGCAAAACCATATTCTTGGGATTATAATTCATTTTAAATAAATTTTTCTTTTTCTCTAAAATGATCCAACCTTAAGTCAATTAGTCTCTTCATCTTAAACCGTTGATAAAACAAGGGTATGGGAAATCGAGACTTGAACACAGCAAATGGTTCACCACAACGATTTCTCCTCCTCACAAAACATCCGCAGGTGGTGAACTGAGAACTGCTATTACCCACCCGACTCAAGTTCTCTCTCAACTCATGGACGTCATCAGTCTGGGAACTAGTTACAACCGGTTGCGAAGCAATATTTCCGTTCCAAGCTTCGTCAAGTTGCCGCTTAGCCTGAATGAGTTTGTCGCGGTAGGGCTTGATTGTCTCCATCATTGGAGCAAACTGCGGTTTCTTGGACATAACTGAGAACGTCCTATCATGTTGGGGTTTGAGCGACATTTCGTTCAGACGGTGCACTTCCTCGAGAGCGGCATCAAGAGTCAGATCACTACAAATCCCAAAAAATGAAAAGGTAACTAATTTTCTTCTGTTCACTTCCTAAACTTTTTCGTGTAACATCAATTTATTGAAGGAAATTGACCACCAGAACTTAGATTTGTTTCCTGGTCCACTTTTCACACGCTTTTCAAGAGGTTTTCTCCAAGGTCTTTCGATTTCAAGAGCAGACCAGTTTCAAGCTTTCCCTTCAGTTCTACATCCCCCTTACTTTTTCTTCCCACTGATACAGTCAGTGTTGAAAGGGTGCATGAAATGAGGGCTCATGGCTGTACGAACAGTGTTGCCAGAAAAACAAACAAACTTCCTGAAGCGCGGGAATACCCCAGTGACCAAGTCGTGCGATTTATTTCGACCAGTCTTGCATCTGATTGTTTGAGAAAGCAACGCGTGTTGTTAGAGCAGTTATCAATTGAGTGTAGAAACGTATGTTTCATATGTTTCATATGTTTGTTGTTGAGTGTAGAAAGTAATCCGGGATTTTTTGGTGTTACTTAACTCTGCTTTGTGATTGGTCCAGAAAACTCGCGCCATTCTCTCAGCCAATCGGATGCAAAACTTCAAACAATTTGGTCAGTTGGTCATTGGCGTTTTCCCGCTCTTCAAACAGTTTGCTTGTTTTTACTTTAAGTTCTGATACAATGAATATATGAAAGTTCATATATATTCATATACGTACTTTAAGTTCTGTAAAACTTTATTCTGATTGGTAGCTGGGATCGATTTTTTTGCTTTTGTTTTTTCGACACTCAATGGTAAACTGCTCTAAGACCAAACACACAGCCAAAAATGTCCAAGTTATTTGCAGCCAAAGCAGTTCCGAACCACACAGAGATGGCGGGATTCAAGGCAATACATGATATATTTCCTGAAACACCGTACCGTTTTATCTGAGCTCTTTTAGTCTCTGTTCTCTGAAGGACCAGATCACCACCGAAAGATTCTTTCTTCGTACGCATTCTTTTCAAAGATTTTATCTCATCCACAGCCTTGGGAAGGTGATTCATGACGTATTCAGAGGCAAAATAGAATTCCTCCAGCTTCTATAAAAGAGCAGTATACAAAACAAAACGTCAGTGAAATAAATAAAATCTGAAAAGGAAATATGATGCAAGGCAATCAAGACCCACTCGCTTTCATCACTTGTTTTTTCGACCACGTGACCAAAACAAACAAGGATTCTGGGAACGAAAATGAGATAACCTCTTGACCCCTGTCTGTTCGATTCCAGACACTCGGTTTGTTGGGAAGAGCAAAAAAGCGGGGCGATTGTAAGTAATAATGCGGTAGAGAACTTCTCGCGACAGTCACTCGTTTTCACGGTTCCGCCGCTTGACGCTTCATAGCGCCGAAAAAAAAAAAAAAAAAAACACCACTCTGGTAGGCTACTGACTGCTGCAGTGTGTTATAGAACTAGAGAAGATCTGATGTTCGCAGAGCAATATCTGAGCAGGGAGGAAACATGATCGGAAGTCTAGAGCTCTCGCATGCATGGAAGCAGTACTGCATCCTAGGTACAGTTACGACCCTGGTTCAAACGTTCGACAGTTGCCCAGTCACCCAATGCTCAATATGCTCCTAATAATAACCCTTGGTACACTTGCCGTACCTTTTGCAGTCTGATCCATGCTTTGTGATCGTACGGCAGTGTCCCTCCAAAGGATGGAGGCAGTTGGCTAGCATCTATGAAGTTCAAGAGATTTGCTGTGCCATTCACCTGTTCTGTCTGCGGAAAATCAAAGACACCCACAACAGTCTAATTTGGCTACGCAAGATCATGCAGAAAGAATAACGCCCATTACTCGGGCAGCCTTTAAAAAAAAAAAATTAATTAATAGGAACGACAAGCAATTCACTCTTCAAGAATGACTTCCAACACAATTATTTTATGGTTAATAACGATGTCGATAGCATGCTTGTGGTGACAATACCTGAAAATCAAATTGTCCTCTTTCCTGGCGGGAGTGGATCTCTTTATTCAAGTGTTTCTTCACTTGTTTATCTTCTGGGCAAATAATGAACATAGTTTGGATTGATCTGCTTTCATTCTGCAAATAAGAGAACGAGGCCGCAGTGGTCTTCACTCCCGCTATGGTAGCAATGTTACTAAACAGAGTAACGCAGTAACGAATGCTCTTGTAAATAAGTGATTCTGTGACTTTTGGAAGCTTTCAGTGCAACCTCACCGTCCCTCACCTTTAACACGCGAATTTCTAGCACTAAACTTATTTTTAGAGTTTATTCTAAGCATTATTGAACAAAAAAAAAAGTTTAGAGGCAAATCCAACACTACTGTGAATCGTTCCGACTGTTTACGAACGAGCCGTGCGAGTTGGAGGTCATTGGCTGATTGTTTTAGTTACCGGTAGATAACCAGTCCAGCAGAGAAACGCCGGAAGTGCCTTTTTAGAAGATAGTGATGACGACCACAACCGAATATAAAACTTACACTTTTCCACAGGAAGCCCAGGTAATTAAGTTTAATATTTTGACAACCATGATGCTCTAAATTTGAAGTTTATAAACAAGTATATATTCTCTGGAGACACTCCCCACTAAGTTAGAGTTAAAGAACTAAACTGCATTTTGAGACTCTCTGGGGCTAAATCTAACCTAACTTAATTCTGCAATGGTTGGACAAACCTGGAACATCTGAATCAATTCTACAATATGCTTGATATCAGCTGCCCTGGAGTTGCGGAAGTCAACAAGAAATGAGAGACTTGCCTCTTTGTACCAAGACCTGAAAACACAATTTTAATAAATGAGTTTTCTAAAAGTACTATATAAAATATGCTTTATAATGCTTTTATCATTCTACAAGTTTGTGATAATACTTGAACAAAGAAGCATGACTTTCCACCCTTTGTTTCCCTTTTCAAACGAAATCTGGCAAACTGATTAAATTCAGTAGCAACCTCTCTGGGCTAAAAAACAGCCCACAAGTAGAATATTCCAAATAGGCTAGCCTTTTCCAGGCATTCAGTTCGGAAAAAAAAAGTGTGATAGTATTGAGGCATGAAAGGGGCTGAGCATTGGTTTATTCTGCTACATTCTAAAAGAGGCTCGTTGATTTAAACATCATAAGAAGCTGTGCTTTGTAAAAAAAAAATAACACTGAACTTTTGCCTCCCAACAACTTTAAAATAAAGCAATTTTTGATTAAGTGTTATGAGCCAGTCAGAGCAAAGAAAATATTCCATGGGGATAATGAGAGCCCAAAGCAAAACACTTTGAAATTGCTCGATACATATCACTAATATTGGTAATAGGACCATTAGTGGAGTCTGATCCAGTCTGTAGTCACACAAGTGATTAACAAAATTGGATGACAGCAAAGCAGGAGTCTGATTTGTTATCACAAGATGATCATGCGACAGAAGTGGACAACAGAGTCCTGTTACCAATTAATCAAAAATATGACAAAATTCAAGAAAGAAACTATAGACATTAGTTATAAAGTTTCTTAAAAAAACAACAGTTAATTAACTCAGCAAAGTGCACAATAACAGCATGTCCACATGACACATACTGCCCATATACAAAGGCATGACATGTTAACTGTCCCTGTAACTGTTCCATTACGCTGTCCAATTATAAGCATGGCACATACACTGTCCTATCAGAGCTTAAAACTGGCTGGTGATAACCAACCACTGATTTGAAACTTAATTGTTATAATAAAATAGAATTGATATCATATGAAAAATAATGCAAAACCTGGAAAGAAAAGCAAGGTATTTCAACAGCCTGATAACATCAGCTTGGTTCAGTTGGACTAGATTGGTGTATCGCTGAGATGGCAGGATAACCAAAGGGTGTCCTTGTAAATCACAACCCCCTGATTAAAAAAAAGAAAAGATCACATGTTATTATTACACATGATTGATACCACTTCAAAGTTATAGCATTGAACTTCCATGCAATAACCTTTTTCAGGACCCTTTTTGAAGTTTTCCCTGACAGTAATTTGAAAAGATGCTCTCGAAACATTGAAGTGTCCTATGATTATATAATGAAGACTGTTTTTGATCAAAATATCACTCTATAAAGTCATTTTCCAAGACTTTCCTTGACTTAGGGTCACATTACATCTCTTTACTGTAGTTCCATAAGAGAAAAAGAAAAAAGAAAGGTCTTGAAAGACTGAAAGTAAGGCACAGGCTAATGAATGACTCATAAAAACCCTGTAATAGTACACAGGTATCTAAAACGTCTTCACAGGTACTAGATATGAACAAACATTGCATGAAATTGTAGAAGTTGGCAAACACAACTCAGACCTGAGAGAACAGCAATCTCTGATGAAATAAGGCTATCTTCAGGCATATAAAGCCTCTTCTCTGCAGCTTTTGACCTTGTACCCATCACCTGCATGAAAAATATTGACGTTTATAAATATCATGGTGACCGCACATATACATTCAATAAATTCCCCACAAAAAAATAACAAAACTTTAAGGAAACATCTCTCCAGAAACTGTTCAAATATAAGTACAGTTTTCTGTATATAAAGAAATTATGCCTAAAATTTACAATAAAATGCTACAATGTACCTTGTTACTCATGCATTATCTGATAAGAAAATAAGAAACTGAAGCCAAGAAAAAAAATTGAAAGATGAATTTTGCATTATAGTACAATCCTATGTACTGAGCATGTCACAACAGGTAATAAGTTTCAGGTTTGAAAAGATGCCAAGACCTTTGAAAAAAAAGAAGAAAATATTGACAGACTCATAAGTCAACTGCTGAGTTTTGCAAAACTTTTGTTCTTAACATCAACCACAGCACTGTTCAGAAAAAGAGTTCTTAGAAAAAAATATCCAACCCCCAATGATACATTTCACATTTACAAGACTGGGGAATATTGTGCATATCTCTCTTTTTAATATTAGTTTTTACTACATCATTGTTAACTACATCACAAATGTATATCAAATTGATTTCTCAGCTTGTTCATTCCTAAATTTAAACACCATTGTTTTTTTAAATATGCCACAGGAGACTTAATTAGAATATGAAACAACAAAGAATGAAAAAATTAATAAAATGTGTACTTTGTCAGGTTCAACTATTTTTGTAAACCTTGGTTAATCCTGTAATGATTGGTAGAAATAACTTCTTGTTACAATTTTGAGACATTATAGATGACAGTTGGAGAAAACATACTCTAAGGAAAAAATATATATATATATATATGAAAGATAACAACAGCTATCCAATTCTTAGGACTATAATAACTAACAATTAAGTAATATTAATGGTCATCTCTCACGAGAACTTAGCTTTAAATGTAAACATTAAGAGGGAAAGGGTTTAAGCCATTTTTTCCAAAGGCTTTTCCCGAAAGAAACACCTTTATTGACCAAATGAAGTTTAGCTTATGTCACATTCCAGTAGAACATCATTTATGGAGTAATTTTAATCTTCTTTGACTTCACCATCTAGGATTTGTCTGGAGATAAGATAAGCTATCTGCAACACAGTGTCAAAAATTAAAATTCGCATAATTGAAATTTTGTGTGTAAGATGACTGAAGCCAGCGAGTAGTAAGCGATAATATTTCATAACAGAACACAGATTCTTCGGCCATTTGTCACGGAGGATTGATTTCTATAGAGTCACTGACCCATTAAACACCTTTCGCCACCAACTGAAAGCTTCGAACAAATTAACGGTCTACCGCAAAGCCGGACACAATGATCAACAAGCAAGTTCCTCGACCCAGCTTGCTACATGTAGCTATCTGAACATTAGGTAGCATTCACCTCATTGAAATGCAAAATAATATGATTCAAGTACGCTTTGGAAATATTTGTCAAGATCGATTAAAAAATAACATGATCATGGATAATTACAAAACCGATAATCGACCTTCTCTTTTGTTTATTTAGAGAATAACATTTAATTTACCGACATAGCATGTGCTCTACTGGAAATATTTTTAAGCAATATTTACAGATATTTAGCCCATGTTCGATTGAGTACACCCTATTGATATAACGATGGAGTCGTAACAACATCCCAAAGGACATTGCACGATACTGTGTGTGCGTTAATTGCTACATCCTGCACCTTCCTACCTTGGAAGTTTCAAACTTTGTGTTGGGTAGGACACACTGTTTCTGTTTTTGTCACGAGGAAATATCTGAAATGCTACGCTTCAATTTCAAACTAAATCGCGTCTTACCGCCAGGATCTTCCTCTCCCCACTTTAACTCTCTTCTCGCCGACAGGAGTTGAAATAAAACACAATCATGCCGTATTTTGGCAATTTGTCACGCACGTTCCGCTCCACTTCGAATCTATACTAGCTTTGCCTGCTTTGCACCAAAATTACTGTGTTCCAAGGCGTTTACCCGTGCCTGACGTTTCACAAAAGACGATTCATGGCAGCTGTCAGAAGGTGACGACTTGAAGTATGTCGGGAACTCTTAAAACAACACTAATTACACAAATCACCCAAGCGATCGTAGTATAAAACAGGTTGGTGGAATGCTGCTTGATCTATCGGTTGTTGTTGGACAAAACATAACCTATCGGGGGTGGGGTAGGGTTCATAAGCTTAGTAACCGAGGTTTGATACGTAACGCCTGACGTATTTTGTTATTTCCCAATCACGTCACGCGAGTTTAAAGAACCTTGCTGTTTTCAACTTTCAAATCATGACAAACGAAGGTGAAAAGAAAATCATTGAACAGTCTCTTTTCAGGAGAATGTCTCAATATTTGAATCCTGCGACACCCAAAGGAAAAAGAAATGTGGTGATCTTATGTTATGCGTTAGGATTTCTTGGACTACACGCAATTTGGGCTCATTCGAAACGCAGCCGGCACAGTAAGCTTATTACTGACGAGAATGTGGATATTCAGACGAGAAAATCGTGAGAGCTTCATCAACGGCCGGCCCAGCACGAAATGCCACGTTGCGCCGTCAATTACCCAAACTTGCATTTTTCGGATATTTAAATAATGTGCACCGGTTTATGAGATATTTCAGTACGGTATTTAAGTATAATTAACTGTGCTAAAAACTGTTTACTGATGGTTCACTTTGATTTTAAGACGGAAAGGTCATTAATTTTGTGAGTGAAACAGAAATTGGGGAACGAGAGCTGATTCTTCCATACAGTTACATCATCAAGAGACGACGATGGTATTAGGAAACAGATTCAATTATCATAGTATGTGAAAGTTCTATGGTTGCTGGGGTGACTCGCAAATCGTTTGATGTCACCTAAAGAACTGATGTTGCAGACAAAGCAAAAGCAAACAAAGTGGATGGTAATTCACAGATCACAAATCAGCTGGGATTGTGATCTTTGAAGCCTCTGAAATATAAAACCTTTTTTTACCTGAGGTGTCTCTGAAAAGGTTGACCATTGTGCTATTTGCATGTGACTGCTGTACAATTTGCATGGAACATTTTGGTACCCCAGACTGTACAACTGGGCCTAGTTGTATAAAGGGCACTTAATCCAACAGATAAATCACTAGCTGGCAGATAAGTGATAGCAAAAGGTATCAAGTGTTATTCGCTGGCTAAAAGTTTTATTCAGTGGATAGCATTTAATCCAGCCTTTAAACAACATATCCACTATTTATCAGAGTGGGAATGAGACAAATTGAGTCATTTTCAAGGTATCTAAGTACTCTGAGTTTTAATCTCTGGATAATTATCTTGCAGATGTGCAAAATTATCATGTTTGGTATCAAGAGAGATGCAAAACATAGGATGTACCCAAAATAAGAGTCTGTAAGTTGATGGGCCTAGGAAAAAAAAATTTTGGCCAGTTTTTTTGTAAGAAAACTGATGATGATTGTAATTAAAATGATAAACTTATAATAATAATTAGAAGAGAATGATAGTAACGATAATGTAACGAGAATCCTTCCTTTTTCCTGCTTGAATTTGTGGCCCACACATTTTGCAGATTGGTCATTCATAGGAATACGAGCTGAAAAAACTTGGTTTGTATCTCGTAGCTCAGGGCCTACTTGTTTGCAGGCCAACTAGTGCAAACCCAAGGTTAAATTGTAATCCAGGTTTCTTTATTCCTTTACATACTTGTACTCATGCATCTTTATTTAAGGAGGGTAACATATTAACTTTACACAAGTTTTCTAACATGTGGTCCTCACCTACTGTACCCACCCATCCCACCCCAGGGGAGGACATCCATCACACAGTAATCTCTTGTGTGGGAAATTAACATCTCCTACCCCAACCCTGCAGGAGACGGGACCTTTGTTCAAAAGCCTTCTTTGGGAAAATTTTCTCTATTCTTTTTAGAGCTAGCATCCAATCATTAAATTGTAGAGAAAAAAATGGACTTAATTCTCTTTTAAAGCTTTCAAATCTGAAATCTGATTTCATACAAACCCCAAGTTATCTTAACCCAGCTTCAAACAACACTTTGCTTTCCTAACAAAGGATGAAGAAGGATGATCATCATCCTTTTCTTTTAAGATCTACCAGCAAGAGGTCTTAGAAGTTTCACATCAACACTCTTTAATTGTTTCAAAAGTTGTATCATGCTCTTATTCAGTAGGTTTCATTCTCACAGGTTTGGACATCCAGTATCTCACGAGGTCAACCAATGTTTCGACTATCAAAGCATGTCAGTGTTAAAAGTGAGAAACTATTTTTTAGCCTAGGAGATGCATTTCATTTGTTCGTCACATTAATGTTAATTTTTGGCTTGACACTTCTTATCCTTGTCTTCAACATCCACCAGAAATTTCAGGGTCTGGTTAGCACGTGCTGCACCAGACTCACAAATCACCAGACTATCTGTCAAACTTTCATGAGCATTTTCTGACTTCAGTAGGTTAGATTATCACCAAATACCACTGATAGCACATGTGAAACCTAATGAAACCCATTCTTTATCTACACAACGCAACACCCACCTGTCTTTGCACCCTATTCTACCTCTTGCTATGTATTTCATGCTGTTCATTACATACTCAAATCATGTTTGGAAATTAAAATAAAAATGCCTTTGGTACCTTGGTAAAAGTGAACAATAGCTCCCATGTTTGCCTGTCAGTAACCTGTCAGCCAACTGTCGGCCAACATGATACCGACACATTACTGACAACTTGTATTTTTACACTGAAGTAGGCTTGTTTTTATTTGCTCGATAGGAAAAAGAAGTTTTTCAATCGTCCTATAATGAATTGCAAAACCATAGTTGATAGTACTTCATGTATATCTGATTAATATTTATCTTCTTGTGACAGGTCAGGATTATCGTTAACGCCCTCTTTAGTTGTGGTTTTTCATATATCTGCTACATATGTATGTGACATATATGTTACATGTATGTTACATATATGTCACATACATGTAACATATATGTTACATATATGTGTCACACATATGTCACACGTGTCAAATGTAGGAATTTGGAACCCATGTGCAGTTATGTGACATGTATGTAGACATGCAAATGTATCACTCTCTCAGATGTAAACAAATCGATATGTCGACGGCAGATCAATATTGATAGCGAAATTATACGGGAACGCCCCTAGCTATCACATTTCCGAAGTAATGCTGCGATGTTTAAAATTTAACTCCACCTTTCTTTGAAGGAGTTTCGATTTTAATTAAAATACTCGTTGAGTTAGCACATGTGTAACCGAATTAAAGCTCTTTGAAAGACTAAAGGTGTAACTATGAGTGAAGACACTTAATACAATCGCTTTTCCGCGATCATGTTTCGCCATCATTTGCATTATTGTGGAATATTAGGTTCTTTATTCCTGCTATTCACACAGTGGAAGAAAAAATACACAAGAACAGCCAAAGCCGGGGGCTTAAATGGCCTAAGGTCAGCAAAAAAAGACGTGAAGAATTTACAGGAGTAGAAGAAAGCTTTAACTATAAGAATTACAATACAATTAAACCAAGAAAGAAAAGGTCAGTCTGAAAAAAAAACTTACAAATGAGATACGATACTTGGCAACTAGTTTAAATATTTAAAGGGCTATAATAATAAATTCCTATAAACCACACAACGTGAAATATATACAAACAAAGACACCTCAGTAATATAGTCCCATAAGGTATACAGATTATACGTAGGCTAATTAACTACTCAGAGAAAAATACAGTCTTAGGTACGTTCCCGGGTATGTTTTGTTTTCAACAAAGCGTCCTGGTCATAATCGTTCTTAAATACAGTGGAATCCCGATTTCTCTAACCTCCAGCTCAAACGCAAATTGGTTCGAGAAATCGGCGGTGAAATTACAAGTCCAATTGCAAATCCAAGGGAAACAAGGTTTGGTTCGAGATATCGGGAGGTTCGAGAAACCGAGGGTTCGAGAAATCGCTAAAATGAGTAACCGGCAAATTTTTATAAGGGAAAGCGAAGCGTTGTTTTCGTGATTCTTTACTTTTCTGATGGTTTTACCTCTCATCTGTTTGGTGACTACGCAGACATTAATTTGTGAAAATCATTGTGTGTACACCCCTGAACGTTAAATATATATGAAGTCGAAGGAACAGTTTTGATCTAAGTACACATTTTTGTCAACAAATTGAAAATATATCGGTTTAAAAGGTGAAGAGTTCGTAACACATACAAAAGCTGTCTTTTTTTTTTTAAATATAAGATGGCTTGAAATACTATTTGAGAACGATTGTGGCCGCTTTTTTAAAAACAGAATTCAGTGGCCACTTTGTTAAAAAACAACATCACCCCAGCAGTTCAAAGTAATACCAAGAAGTTTCAACTGTAAACGAGAGTCACCCATAGGTCATTCAAACCGGCAATGTACCCACGACAGTTTCGTTTGATTGGCGTATCGTGACAATTAAAATATTAAAGTATACCTTTCTTGGCGTTTTATTAGACTTCATTTTATTTTATTTATGGACATCAACACGTTGGCCACTGACTTTTATTTTATTTGGTGGTTCTCAGAGGAGTCGTTTTGTTCAGACTTGAACTATTGGTCGCAATTGCGGAGATAAAGATCGTCGATCAAAAAAAGAACGGCTCCTTTAGGAGCCACCAACTTTACAAAAGTAAATGAACCAACAGAGTAAACTTCTAAACAGATAAAACTTTATTAACGGGGTTTCGTAGATGAAACTTCTAAATAAATGAATAAATAAATAAAAGAAACAAATTATTAACGGAGTTTGCTGTTAAACATGCAAATTATATCAGTGTTACGTTCTCTTCGTTTCCCCTCTATGGTCTATACTCACAGGTAAAAGTCTACCTTCGGAGATGTTGATCGCTCTAGCCTACAAAAACTCGACACAACAGATAGAGAACGTCGGATGTAGGTGACATCAACCTCTTGTGCAGTGGCCCCAAGCCGTCGCCCCCAGGTGAACCATAAAACCCCAAATTAAACTTAGATCAAAAGCTGGAGGTGACGCTCACTTAGTGTGTTCGCTATGATTAGTCAGCAAAGCTGGTCCTATTTCACTGCACGGCCCGTCATATTCTCAAGTTTGTTTGAACAAAAATCTTCCCTTCAACCCAACTTGGATCGATTTGAAAAATATCTTACCAAGATCGCTAACTCAGTTCGTACTTTCAATCGCGGCACCTCGGTTTTTCTCCGCTGGGAATTACGACCCGCGCACCGTCGCGATTGGGCCATTATTATTAATCCGAGCGGATAAAAACTCGGTCCGTAACTTACTGTACGGATCTCGAACTCGGTACAGTATCTATCAACTTCTGTGTGGAGGTGTAGTGGATAGGCAACCCAGATTTTTGACTGTCCGCCAACACAAACTCAAAAGGTTTTAGAAACTATTTCCGTCCCAAACATTTTGCAACACACTTCGCCGCTCATTCTCAGGATTCTGCGGCATGACGCTTTTAAAGCACTTACAAAACTGCTAGTTACGCTGGTTAAGAAAATAATGACACTGCCTTGCAGGAGATAGGTTGGCGAAACAATTATATCCATTCATGACAGTGATGAGGTTGCTAAGTCAACTAAAAAGACACAAAACAATGAGGTGTCATTCGTTGAAAATGGAACCTCCTTCAAATCTCCAACTCTTTCCAATCAGGAAAATTCGGGTTTCTTTTGTAACATTCCCAGGAAAGAGCCAGAGAGCATTTTCTTTCTTTTCTGAATAACTCCTTTGTTTGTAGCCGGAATTTTTTGAATAAACAATTTTAAACTCTTGTCGATCAGGCAATAAGACCTGAACTCGCCTTTATCGAATAATAAACACTTCAGCGAGACCGAGTGACAAAAATAACCTTTTACAAGATCTCTTAAGTTCTTCATTGCACGAAAATAATTCATTGCGGAAGTCTTTTATCAGAAAAACACTTAGTTACCAAATTCAAGTGATTAAGACTGACAAATCATTTGAAATTCAATTGCAGCGAAATAATCACTTTCGATTATTCGAAACCAGAGAACTATTCATAGCTGTCAGGAAGCAATTTTCTTGGAATGAACACGAAAGCGTTCGATCGCTTTTCTGTAATGTTTTCCTGTCCACGTTTAAATATCATTTAATTTGACAAAGACGATCGCGAAAAATGAAAGCGTTTCAAGTACATTAAAACAAAAGGTTCAGCAAGCCTTTGTTTTCCTATCCGCCCCCCGCAGATCTGGGTCTTTTTAACCAGTTCTTTTATTCCTTTATACTTCTTTGAACCGTGTTTACGTACCACAAATGAAATCTTTTTTTTGACGGTCCACCCTCAGCATAATTATGCTAGGTTTCTTTGTTTGGAGGTGTTTAAGCTAATGGACTGCAACCAAACAAGAAAAGACTGAAGATTAGGTTTTCAATTCACTTATTGACTCTGGAAAGCGTATGCAAATATGGTACCTGTAAAACGTTCATCGTGACAGCTGAAAATACTGTACAGATTCATGTACAATCCTGCGATTTCGTTCAAAATAGTCTTATGCGGTTTCATATATCGTGCTGCCTGATGTCCAATCAAATCGTGGAACGAAACTAAATCAGCATCGTTGCTTATGTTATGTTGCGTTTGCCTATGCCAGTTGGATATCAAAGTCCTTATGGCATAATTTCACCCCCGAATGTAGGCTTTTGCCTTTGAGAATAGAATTTTGTTCCGGTTTCTCTACAACTATACGGAGAGAAATTTTTTACTGCTAAACTGTTGGTAAGCATGAAACGACATGAAGTATTTCGCAGCAGAGACTCCCAAGTGTCATTTTGGCTTCAAAAGAATGGTTTTCAAAATCAGCGATCGAACAAGGACGAAGAAACGAGAGGTAAGAAAACACAGAAAAGCACGGAGAAAATGACAAAGGCCACACGGAGAAAAGAAGTTAGGTTTGAATCTATGCACGGTACAATCAGGCCTCGTAGCGAGTGGAAAACTTTGAGAACGAAAAGCGATAAAGTGGAAGCCAATAGAGACAAAGAGCGCTTGGAAAACAAAGACAAAACCCCGGCGATTGTGCCATCTGAAGACTTTACAGAGCGTGATGGTAATGAAATGAATGAACCCACAGAAAACTCATGCAGGTTTGGAAATAAGATCAAAAGTTTTTCAAGCCCTCTAAGGCCGAAGGGATTAGATGAGCAGGTGCTCGATAGACCCAGTCGTCACAGTATAACCCGAAGGAATTCCATGCTTTCCTTATCTTCAGAGAGACCGTCTTACATCCCAGTACTAATTCGCAATAATAACACACGGCTTCGAAAGTACAGTTTCTCGGATAAGAGAGAGGTTCTGGCATCAAAGAGAGACAACCCCACCAAAAAGGCCATGTTTCAATCGAACAACGCAATACCGGAATTAGAGAATGTGCCTTTACAACAGACAACACGCAATATCGATCCACGAAGAGTTATTAAAGAAAAATTAACTTTACATGTCGGGAAAATTCGTGGGTCGAATAAACACACTGAAAAACGAACAGATGACCAGCTGAGAGGAGAGACTGAAACTTTTTCAAACCCTCAGAAAACTACTGATATTGATGGAAATCATACTTGTATAAATCAAAGACGACCAATGACTGGTTCTTTTTCAGACAGCAACGATGAAGATTTCAATTTTAAACTTTACGAGAAAGACTCTCTACAGAGCTACAGTTTTGAAATGCAGCGAAAGCCAGTGAAGCAGAATTACCCTACGAGTATGTACAGTGCAAGAGGAAACTTACTATTGTGGCTTGGAGAAGTAAACAAAAACAATCCTCAGCTTTGGAGTTAGTTGTCATGTTAAGCTTTGTATGATTTTTATTGTAAACATTTAAAAAAAGGGTGGTTATTCAGAACAAGTTTATTTGATATGCGTAGAGTCAAAGATGATCTAACAAATAGATCTCTCGTGGCTAAGGTCGACTCAGCGTGAAAACCGCTTCACAGCAGTCAGTTGTTATAGTAATGATGTGTCAAAAAGCTCATTAAAAAATGCTTTTTAACGAGGTCATGGATGAAAAATCAGTTGCTTTCACCCTTTGATTATTTTATAATGGTAGCACTACCAAGTGTGAGAGATTTTCTGACAATAAAATTAAAGTCGAACTCCCTATCGATCAGTCCGAGCTCATTTGGGCTCCCATTAATGAAATTTGTTCGACAATGATAGAAAGAAAATTTTTTTTTTCCATTGCTGAACTAAATTCCAATTATCAAATTCTTGCTCCCGTTTATTCAATTTCCTTTTTCCATTTTCCCCTAAGCTGAGAAAAAGCGTAATTAAGACTCTCTCTCTCTTGATTTCTCTCTGGTAAAGGGTATTTCAGACAGGAAGGTCATAGTCCAGAAAGGGGCCCTCATTATTTGCAATGCTCCGCTTCGTGGATAGGTTTGCCAGGGGTCTGGCACTAATAATTATCGGTCCTAGACCCCTTCTCAGACCTCGCGGTGGTTGGAGTTAGTGCTCAGGGCGTCATATTTCACGTCGGGCGCGGGATCACTAAAGCTCATACGCTACTAACGAGGGCCTTCTCGCAGGCTAGGATGGGCATCGCAGTTCCGAAAGTGGAACACTGGCTAATAAAATGTGGTGGTTCAGAAGTTGCAGTGGCTTAAATGGGGCCTCTTGAAACACCATCACAAATGCAAATATGCAACCACAATCAAAATAGTATCACACTCCTGATTGTTTCTTCCGAGTAGAATTGGCCCTCTAACAACCTTTCAGCTTATAGGACGCTGGATGAAGGGCATGATTTCCTTTGCGTTTTTCCTTCCTACCGTTTAACTTGAAAGAGAAAAAGAAAACAAAAATAACAATGCATTACATTTAACACCAATGCTGCTGGCTTTCACTCCAGGGCGAGAGAGCGACCCTCTCCCTTCATCTGCCACGAGAACTCCCTCCGCTTTCCCTGAGAATTCGCAGGTCACACCACAGAAAAAATACAATTACAAGGCAATAATCTTTTTATGGACTCTTGTCCAAATTTTATTGGCTTGGCAGACTCACATCAGATGACTGAACACCAGCCAGCTACTGTAGGCCGGCTAACAGTTTTCACCTTAAAATATCACTTATCACAATGACCGCTTTTTGAAGGCTTAATTTTTTTGTACAAGCATGAGAAATTTAGTATTAAATTTCGTTTCTTTTTTTTTTTTTGGTCCTTTGTATCTGGTGTGCATGGCATTCAAAAGCCGAAGCGATTACAACCAAAACTGTAATCTGCGGAGCTAAAATTCTTTGCACCCTCTGAAATGAGAATAATTTTGCATTCTGTTTACAACAACAGTACGGTAAAAGTTTGCTTCCGTCATAATTATCAAATGATTGATCTTCTTTTCGGTAAGAGAAATGGAAGAAATACTATGTATAATATTTAAGGGACTAAAGTTAAAAGTAATAATTTTTTTACGTGCTGAGGAAGGGGGAAGATTAGAAGAGAAGGCAGGGAGAATGAAAGAAAGAAAGGGAGAGTGGAGGAGGCTTGAGAGAAGTGATACGGATTAGTCCCCTCTTTCTTCTTCTTCTTCTTCCTCTTCCTCTTCTTCTTCTTCTTCTTCTTCTTCGTCATCCATTTTCTTCACAAAATCGTCTGATAAAAAAAAAAAAAAAGACAACTGATTAGGACTCACATAAAGCAATGTTCAATCACGAGTCGAAATTGATCCAGGATTGCATTATATGATTCGGCTTTTCTTTTCCCTATATACACACATAAATTTCGATTTCAACTGGCTCCTTGTAGCTCCTCGGTTTTTACTGGCTTCTGTGATAAAAATGTTTTACCTTAACGAACAAGTATCGGAGGAAAGCATTTAGCAGGAAAGAAGTTAAAATTCTTCATGATTGGCTTGGTATATCAACATGGTTCCCCTCTTATGTGTTGTGGTATAGTACAACAAATGAAAGGGCTCTCTTTCTTAGCAATCAATCTGCCTTAACTGAAACTAAAGGTTTCTTTTTACTCAACCAGCCAATTATAACTGATAGAAAGTGAGCAAAGAAAGTGAAAGTAAAGGATGTGACTCACCAATTATGTCCCTTACACTTGCCCATCCTCTCTTTGGTATTGTAATTGAGTTCCGATAGTTGGCTGTCACCTAAGAGACATTTAGAAGCTATCAGTTTCCTCAGTAAAACATGGATAATTCATCCTGCCTGTGAATAAGTTGATAAAACTATTCTTTGTTGTGTGACTCAGGAAGCCAAGTGTGCCTTCAGTTTTCAGCTTCTCAACAGAATTCTAGTAGGCTACTTTTTACTTTTGTTTTGTTTTGTTTTCTCGTCAATTCACTCAACACAGTGCATCATAAACCTTGGCATCTTAAAGTAAACATAAAAAGAACTTTGGAAGGTAATATGTCTGGGCTAGGTTAATGACAAGAAATAGTGTACTGAGATGCTGGGGTGAGCCAAAGTACTTCATTGTACATATTGCAAACAGTGCATTTTTTATGTGGAACAAATGTGTTATTCCCAAAAATCATCTAAGGTGAGCCTTCTTGACATTCACTGAGTTGTTAAGTGTTGAGTTGACACTAAAAAGAAATCCCACAAAATATTATATGTTTCAGGTGTGCGACCCACAGCCTAGAATATACGCTGCAAGGTACCAACAAAAACCAAACAAATGAAAATAAATGGGGTTGAGGAAAAAATTCCCATGCCATTTAAGTGGAAAAAAAAAAAAAAAAAACAAAAAAAAAACACTGGCCCATTACAGCCAAAACTCATCCCAGTTTCACATGTATAACCCTTTAACCAGGATAGAACACATCTAATTTCTAACTCACCCAAAAACACAAACCAACCAGTGCTCACACCCTGACCTATTGATCCCCAGTGTATTGCGATAACCAGAAGGCAAGTGTGACGCCGATTGAGTAAGATGTCTGTTGTTTGAACAGATATCTGTGGCTAAAAACCTCACCTCAGAAATCCTCAGGTACACTCCTCTTGGGTTGCTACCAACATCAAAGTAGAAGCGTTTTTGCTCCACACGCTGCTCACGAGAGGCAGGCAAGTCACTGGATACTTCCTCTAAAAGAAAAAGCAAAAAGAAAAAACCACAAGATTTACCAATACATGGAGTTGTCAAGATAAATTATCACAACCTGCTAACATACAGTAATTCTCTCTTGAAACTAGGAACATTTCCTTGTGAAAAACATCAGAGAAATTGGATAATATGCACCTCTAGTCACATGACATGCTAGATTTGCAGGTGGGATGTACTGAAATTGAGAGGAGCAGTTGCACGTTCATAACCTCTCAGAGCTTAATGGTGATAGTCCTAAACAAGGGGAGCATGGGTTTACTCTTTAGCCTTTTCACTCCCAAAGTGACCAAAACTACATTTCTCAAAACAATACCAAAACATCTTTTCAAGCAGAAAGGTAAGGAGACATAAAAACATTGAGTCAGTTTGCTAGACATAACGTCTCGTAACGTCTCGTCTCGTCTCAAAATTTCATCACAACATAAAAACATTAACTACGAGATATTCTTGATTCGACTCCAAATTCTCAGTCCAAACCTATTGGAAATGTATAGCAAACATTGATGAAAATGTTTATTTAAATCTTGAGAGTGGAAGGTTAAAAAAGGGTCAGAGTAAGAGAGCCAACCATAACCTCTCCCCACTTCAAACCCAAGGGTAACAGAACAACAAAATGTATCTATGGGAGAGAAGACAAATAGAAAGCCAAATAAAATTTGTGAAGTACTTGATTTATGTTCTGTTTAGTAGGAATCAATGAAACAAACAAACCTTCTTCAGAGCCATATTCCTCCAATACCTCTGAAAGGGCATCTCTTATGTCCACAATGCCTTGAGCTGGAACAGCAATATTTGTGCGACCTCCACGGCCATATGTCCCAGTTTGGTTGATCTGAAAAAGAAAATGACTTCCTTGGAGAATGGTTCTGGGACCATAAAACTGAATCACCTCTCTTCAGTTTATTAAGTGTTTTATAAAGAGTTGATATAAATTGGTTGGTTTACAGGAAGCAACATGTTCCTTCAGAACACTTCCTGAGCCCTTCTGGTCAATAGAGTTCTGTATATTGCACTGCCAGTTTGTGTACAGTTAACCCTAGAGAGATTAAGATCCTTTTAGCGAAAAATTACCATTGGTATTGACAAAAATGACATTTACTGAAATGAAGCCAATGTTTTGTTGGAAAAGACCCACATTCTGGTTAGCAAACTATTAAATAAATCAACCATTTTAACTAACCAGCCAAAAGAGAAAAATACTACAATTACCTTTAACAGTTAAATTTGCAGTTGAATACTTAATGTAACATGAAGAGTTTTTATTAAATACTAAGGACAGGTAATCCTTAATTTTCTTTTCTTAGACAGTTTAATTTGCACTTATTGACCCTATTGTAAGTAACCATGCAATGACAGAAACCTTGAGTCCCATCAAGGTGTTTATCATTAGTGATCATAGAATCATTAGATTACTCTGCAGAAATCCCTTGCTACTTGTCCACTGCCTGAGTTGTTTAAACATGGAGAGTTTTTCCCTGCTCTCTATGTCCAATATTCTCTAAAAACAACATTACTAAAATGAAAACTCTGGTTCCACTTCTAACCACTGAGTAATATTGTATACTGATAGTGAAATCCTATACGAGTACCAAGGGTGTAAGAAAATATCAAGGAATACATAACATTCATTTCCTGTTTCTCATAATGAAGAGTCTTGTAATCTGGGAGAGAATGTTGCACTACATGAATCTCTATTAAACTACTTAATTGTTTGGTAAAATTCAGTAATAAAGAAAGTCCCAACACAGACCTTGAGGAACTTTCCTCTGTTGTTTTCTTTGAGGTCCAGATAGTACATTCTGTTATTTGGACCTCTAATGCTTTCGCTAGAAAATACAACCAAAAAAGTCACATCTGATTATTGAAGCTAGTTAAGCTAAGGTTCTAGAAAAATATCTAAACCCTTGAAGGCACTAGTAACTATACTGTAAATCACAATTCTTATGACCCAGGATATGTTTCTCAAAGGTCCTGGTAACTAATAACTGGCCCATTAAGCCTTTCTGTTTTCCTTCAAGATGGGGGTTTCAGAAGTATTGTAAATTATTATACAATGAAACTATCAGATAGAAAAACTAAATGGTCTGGTTAGAATGCCAAAGCCTGCTTCTCTATTCTTAAAATTTTATTTTAAAACACAGCTTCAGGCTGTTAAGTTACCAGAACTTTTGAGAAACAGACCCCACAACATGTTTTGTATGTGCCACTTCCAAAAGACAAGCTGCTGTCATTAATCTCTAATTGTTCAAATTTGAGTGACATGTTGTGTCGAAAAAAATTTATAATACACAGTAATTCTTCAAGTCAAGCAAAGCATAATACAACAGTAGCTTGGTCCATGTGATATTTCACATTAACCTGTTGCCCATTGTGTGTCCTGTATGGAATATTTAAGACAGAACTGGATTTACATGGGTTTAGAAAATAGGGATTCCAGGGCTGGAAATTAATGGTAACCTGTTAACCAAAGGTTAGTAATTTTCAATGTTTGGTTACTAGAAATTTGTCCAACTAACCCGACATGATTAGTAAAATTTTCTAACATATTGAAATATTGGTAGACCTCAGGAGAAAGAGCACATAGACCCGACTCTAAGAGGAATACTTAGAATACTCAAGTTGTTAAGTCAATTTTAACTCTTTTTAGAGAATGTGCTGTAGATGTACTGTTCTTGACTAATCATGGTAAAACAAGAGGGAAATAAAATAGGTGCATAATTGTCAACGTTTTTGAGGTCACCATGCGATTTCAGCTACTCTTGTTTGAGATATCGTAACTTGTGAGCTTGGATACCAAACTTTATAATTTGGTGAGTAAAAAAGATGTCTACTAACCTGAAGGGTTAGTGATCAAAAAATTAAATTAGAGCCCTGGATTCAACAAATTCACAGAACTTGGCAAAACAACAAACTTCATAGAGAAACACTTTCTAGGGGCACTAATGAATTTACTAATTATACCGTATTTATTTATCTATAAGCCAAGTGATTTTTTCACAAAAATTTACCAAAACAGATCTCAAAAATTTGAGCTAGAGAAGGGTTCTCAGCTTATAGCCAAGTGTTTTTCCTAACATAATTTTTTTGAAACAGTAAATTCAAAGGAAACATAGATATGTTTGTCTATAAGCTGAGATATTGCATGCAGAAGTAAACAACAAAACAAGTTGAAGTTGGTCATTGACTTTATTTATGTGGTTGCTTCCATTTTAAGGAGCGGTTTGTTCTTTTTGGCACGTAGTAAATACGGCTTACTGTTTGTCCTCAGTGTTGGCAAGGAATTGTTTGTCCATCTCCTCCTCATCCGCTAGTTCTGCCGTTTCTCACAGTAGATTGCTTCATCTTCTGTGCCGTCTAGAGTATTAGAGATTCTGCAGGTTTTGAACGAGTGTATAGATCTTGCGAAAGCGTTTTAAAAATTTTGAAACTGACCAATCAGAATCTTCCATTCCCATGATTGGTAAACAAACTCGTCACATGTTACAGTGTTGAAAGATGCGATCCCGTGAAAAGAAAACTTACCTTGGCTTCTCTGCTTTGCAAACCAGTCAAGTAATCTCTCATCCAGCCGTGGATATTTCGGAGTGCAACGCCCCATCGTTGTGCCTTTCGCTGACATCTCAAGCTCTCCAATAAAGAGATTCTCTTGATCTTTCCTCTAGCAACTCGCTGATGACTTACTCTCTGGTTATTTTGGAATTGTTTTTGACGGCAATACTGCATAGAAACTCTTTTCTGTTTCGGAACTTTTGCGTTCATTTCAGTTTGTTAGAGAATGGAATTCTCTGAATATGGTCTCAGCATATAGCAGAGTATTTTCAATTTACACGTTTTAAGAACCTTCCTGATTAAAACAGACTGAAGTTTAGGGTCTTGGCTTACAGCCGAGTTCGGATTATAGACGAATAAATACGGTAAAAGTGGCACAGGCTATTCCTGAAGACAGAATAATGATCTGAAATAAATACTCCTTCTACCAATACCTCATCAAATTGCCAGATTCCTCTGACTCCTCGTCACGTTTTGGTGCTAAAATTAAGGTAATTGAATACAATTAGAATAAATAAATTTAAAAAAGAAAAGCCACTAGCAGCAAAAACAAAGCCAGAGCTAACTATTCAATGCTCCAAAATCTTCTGAACTGTGCCTGTGACCTCCAGAGAATTTGGGAAAAAACTGATTTACTAACATGGGGATTGACTTGATTTATAAGAAATGCTCTAACAAAAATAAATATATTCTTATTCTTCATTCTACGATTTAATTCAAAGGCATTTACAAAAAGAAGTCCCCTACCCTGAGCTAGAAAATTTGCAAAGGAAGTCAGCTTGGTACAGAAATCCCGTGCCACACCCATAGTGAATATCACATTGCTCTTACCAGAGCGGTTAACAGAAACCTGTCAAAATATAAAGATATGCAAACCCCAGTATTACCAACACTACCACAAGTCAAATAATTATAGCATAACGTTGTTTTGGGAATTGTTTATGGCAACTTCTTTCTGTTTCTTGCACCTCCCATTTTATAAATAGGAGGCTGGGTGTGAAATGTCATTACCAAGCTGGGTTTCCCTTTGCACCCAAAATGCCTTGTTTGAGGCACCACCTTGGAGCCACCTCACTTGAAATTTCAGCTAGCAGCCTAATTTCCATGAGACAACCTTGTGCTAGTGACATCATGTTCCTAGAATGTTTCCTAATCCCACCATATATTTACTTCCTCAACTGCTTTTTTCTTAACAAGACTGTTATACATGGGAGACATGTTCAAGGGTGGAGAGACTACCTATAGCACTGAATGTTTTGAAGCAGTGCAGCTAATAACAAGGTATAGGGTCTATATGCAAAATGGCACTAATTTTCATATAAAACTTGAATAGTTTCATGTGCATTAAATGCCTTGTAGTTTAGACTATAAATATCTGTGCCGGAATTAAGAGGAGACACTACAAGTCAGAAAAATTCCAATTTCAGCATTGCTTGTCACAGTCAAATGACAAATTGATGTCAAAAACCATTCAAAACGAAGAGAGTAACAAGAACATGACAAAGAAAATAACATGACTAGAAAACAAGTGACAAATGATGAAAAATTTAACATTTAAAAAAGATGAATTTTACAAAGACACCAAACTATCTTAACTCCCAATACGTATAATGTGTATTACAACACTATATTTATTGGGCATGCAGTGGCTATCAGGTAAATTGGAGATTGGAGATTTTCCAGCAACTATACAGAATGCTCTGAATAAATCTCTGTGGCCTGAGCTACATACACTTGTAGTTTTTTCTTTTTTTTTCCACACACACACACTACTCCTGCTTTTATCATTTCTTCAAACCAACCTTTTGGGAGAAGCTTTGAATCAATTTCTCATGACACTTTAAATAAAACTATTCTCTATTTTGTCCAATAATGTGTGGCTAACAGGGCTCGACACTAACGGTAGCCCACTTAAGCCACAAACTAGTAGAAATTCAGTTTTAGCTAATAGTTTTCAATTTCCACTGGCCAGTTTGGTTAGTAAACAGACTGAAATTGTCATAACATCTAAAAACATACAAGATGTCACTAGCCACTTGGCTAGTAAGTTGAAAAATTAGTGTCAAGCCCTGGGTAAACATCTCAGTAGCTTTACTTTCCTGATCTCTACAGTCTGAAAGATAATCATCACGCCAATACTTTTTTGATAGACCTAAACTTTTCCTTCAAAACAATTTTTAGGCCCCAGACAACTCTGTGCAGTTGTCATGCATATCCTGTATCAAAAAACTCTAAGCCTGTCTCTCAAACATGATTTTCAGAAGGCACAGTGATTAATTTTTCACATAAAGTACCAAAGCATTGACATGTATGTGCTATCAATCAACTAAAATAGAAGACATAAATATCTGTGATAGTTAGGACAATTGATATTGTCTTTTAAAGGTATCACCCTGCTCTGTTAACTAAAACACAACACCTGAGAAAATGTACACATAACTCAAGTTTCATCGCTTGGGCAACTCCAAGACAAATATTTTCTTATGAACTTAAACCCACATACGAGGAAACTTCAACAAGTTTTACAGAGAGGGGAAGAGGGCTTACTCAGAGGAAAAAAAAACAATTTAGTATGAAAGATTTAAATATCTACTAATATGCAACATAGTCAAGGTTTAGTTGAGCAATAAATTTGGCCACAGAAGTTTGTGGCAGATTAAATGTCGAAAACAATTCTTTCAGGTGTTTCAATATACAAGTCACATTGTAAATACTCATGAATAATTTAATACATAATCCTTTATGGTTCTTTTCCTTTGTTCTTTTACCTTAAGTTGTAGACAATCCATAACACAGACCTGAATATCTTAGTAATGATGATTACAAGAAAGCTAGAAAAGTTAAAAACTTTGAAGAAGTATGTTTAAATATTGATTCAACTGAGAGTAGTCTCTTGGAAAAAAAAAACGCCTTTCAACACATATTTCCTTTCATGTGATTACCAAAACTGGAAAATGAGCAGCGGACGTAAAGCTATAACATAATATTCATATCAGTTTCGCTATGCAGTGAAGGTATTACACAACTATTTACTATAATCTTGATCACTATTTCGCGTGAAATGCCATATTATTTCGGTACATAAATCACTTTTAGCCCTCTTTCGATCAGGCATACTTAAAATTAAAACTTCTGACGAAAAAAATAATGAAATCGTAGTATGTTAAATTGTACAGGCATGTAACTTGTACGAGCTAATATTTGGTCGTAACATAACTTGTTAACGAACGACCAACGAAGACAATCTCTACCAAAGTAAACGGTTATTGGGAATGACAGCGAGAGAATATATTTCACTCTTGGTTTGTGCTAAAATACGACAATTCTAAGAACTTTGGAAAATCACAATAGCAAAAGAAATTTACATAATTAGTTCCTGAAAACGTTTTAGCAGCCGGCAAGATTTTATGCATGAAAAAATATATTTAAATCAAAACAGTCAACAAGATTTTCATATCCTATTTTCGTGTTTTTTTATTCTAGAAAAAAAGTTTAAAAGACCTTGCTGATTTGGTTCTTAAAATGGACAAATAAAAACGTGGAAAAGCTAACGACAATGGCAGAACATGCTAGCGGCCTGCCAATACAGCTGAATAATTGATAATCGGTGATTTTTATCGTAATATCAAAACACTGTCTTTCTTTTCGAGAAGAAAATATTTCCTGCACTTGAAGACTGGATACAAACGTTTTTGTTACGAACAGAAATTAAGCGCGAAAGCAAGAAATGGCAAATCTTAAAAGCACGAATGACAAATAGCAGTACATTTTGTCTGCATACCTTATTTATAACCCTACAGGAAGTCCCGGCCATTTAAATTCAGCCCGACCAAAAAAAAATTATCCGCGAATTCGCAAGACTGCTGACAGATTCGAAAATTATCAACTCATGACGGGTTTGCCTAAGTGAACGCTTAATTATTGCATATAAGGGGCTTTTTAAAATCAAAAGAGTTGTAGAGACACCCTGCTAGGTTTGGGTTTTTTTTATATCGAGGATATTTTACTCTCCACCGCTTCACACCTTTCCGTTGCGCCAATCCAGTTGAAATAAATAAATGCAGAGACAGTCAAAGACAGCCCACTCAAACCATCACGTTAGCTTGTTTACGGTTTTCCCAGGAAGAGGACATTATCTAGGTTAAAACCCACGGCTCGATAAGGCTTCAGCGAAGGTACAAATGTCTTCCATCGCTACCGGCTAAAGGATTTTATTGTTTCACGACTAACCTCTGCAATTTTGATGAACTTGCCACGACGATTTTGCTTCACATCCACGTAAAAACGTTTAGATTGTATTTTCAGTGACTTGCTGAAAAGTTCAGTGTCGCCTGGCGGAAGAAAAACTCAATGTCAAAAACATTTTGAGAAAATATGAAACGGCACAAAGGGGAAGACTTAGCGACCGGAGGTTGAAGGGCCTTCGAAAGCTGTCAGGATATGGATCTTTAAAACAATTTTTTCTCCTTCTCTTCTCTACCGCTCCAAGCTGAATTCCCTCAAAAATACGAGACGAATATGAGTGGCTTCGTAGAGATTTTTTTTACCTCGACCATCTTGTCCTTCATCCGCATATTCCCCTCCGTTCGCTCCCTCACTAGCAGCCATTCTTCCTTCTCCTACATCAGCCTCGGTGTTCCCGTGCTCGGCACCAGCCATCTTGAGTGCGCACGCACCCAGACCCCCCGCACTATTTATTTAGAAGAACGACATGTCCTTATATGGAAGTGGTCCCTGGAACTTGGGTCAAAGGGGACAATAAAGACTTTAGAGAGCGGAGAAAACCCGACTGAAAAAGTTGAATGCAAAAACTTTCCAAAAGATCAGTTTAGCGTTATTTAACAAGTACAACGAAGAAATGTATATCTATCTGGACATTAGATTAGTAAAAATCTCGTAGCATTCCTGACCTAAATGATGGATAAAACTTTAGATATACGCCGTTTTTGATCTGTGACAATTGTATTTCTTATTTTAGCTTTTAATACTTTTTATTTTTACGGAGGACCTCCCTGAAAACCATGTATTTACGTGACGGGCGCTTCCTCCTTAAAGATTGTTTATTATTATTATTATTATTATTATTATTATTATTATTATTATTATTATTATTATTATTATTATCTTGAAACAATGCTGAAAATCCTGCATATAATTATTTCATCCTAAACATTTACAACACTCGACAGTAGACACAGAAAACACTTTGATCTTTCAGCATAAACTAAGAGGCTGGAAAGATTGGATAATTTTCCATGTAATGCCACTAAACCAAATTTTTTTGCCGTTTCTCCTGATTCTATTAATTTAATTTTTTTTAATTTTTTTTAAATTCATACCATTTTCACTGCATTGATTTGCAGTGGGGAAGGACTTCTCAACTATTTTAAGACCCTTGAGTGTTGGTCGGGCCGGGGCTCGAACCCTCGACCTCCCGCACAACAGTCCAGCGCACTATCCATTGGGCTGCGTGGGTTATTCGTCTCGGCTGTCGCATTTATCGATATTTTTTTCTTCATAGAAGCAGTGGCGCGGTAGAGCCCATTATGTTGCTTTTACCAATTTGGAGGTGAGAAGTTGTTAGCTAATTAACTTTGAATATTGAGGTATATAAACCCTTCTGGTTCAGCCAAAAGTCACTTAAGTAAAGAAATCATTTGGGTTTTCTTTTTCTGTCGTATGAGTTTGGGTCTGTTTTGCTAAATCAGTAAACTTTTTCTTTATTCTTTACCTCTGCTTTTTTTTTCTCAGTTCTTGCTAAAATAGCAAAAACATTTTGGCCAAGCGTGAAAGACTCGTGCGCAGACATACACTGACACGAAACTCATCCCCGAGTCATGAGAGCAGAACTTTATAATCTTTGAGCATCTCCTATGAAATATTTGCGTCAACATGCCTTTGCATTAGCGACACAGTGGAGGATAAGGGAAAATAATATACCATCGAGACGAGCAAGATCCGCTTTCGTCTTCCTCGAGCTCCACCGACTGAAGTTTCCTTTCCTAAGTTGAAGACATGATCCTTGCGACAAACTAGCCTGTTTTCAGGTAACTCTTCGCTGATATTTCCATTGTGCCGTTGGCTAGTACTCCCTGAAGCACGGACTAGGACAATGCTATGTTCAGCCGGCATGAATAGGATATATCGATTCCCTTGAAGAGCGCAAGATTCCCATTTTTCGAGTTTTATGTCTCTGGGAAGTTATTTCTCGCCAGTACATGAAACGTCCCCGAGTCAAACGGCCTTTGGCTTGGAGAAATTATCTGGTTTCCGAAAATTCAACTAGCGGTCTTTTCGGCACACGTGTTACGCGTTTTCTTGGTGAGTATACTGACGTCGCATACTTACCAAGGAGTCTTCAGCAGGCGTAATATTTAGCCTGTGTACAGCCACCCCCTACCCTTCAAGAGAAAACTGGGAAGGGGCCCCTTCTCGATTTCTTTCGGAGGGTAGGAGACGGCTGTACACGGGCTAGCGTAATTTTGGCGGGCGAGTTCTCAGCAATTTTGGAGCCCAACTCTACCCTGATGAAGAAAGACTCTGGGATCGAGGCTGAACGAAAATCCCCGTCACGCAAGAAAGTGTGGGTAATTTAGGCAAGATGGCGGAAGGAGACAGTAACTACGCTTCGCAAACGGAGATTTTGGCCCAGTTTCAGGTTGCAATGATTGTTCTATACCTTTGTCGGCTGAAAATGTAGGGAATACTTATTGTATTATCTACTTGCAGGATATAACTGGTTATGACGATATTGAAAAGTGTAGAACTGTTCTCGAGCAACATAACTGGGATATCGAGGTGAATAAGTTTTCGGTTTTTTAACCTATTTTTTTTTCTATTTTACCTCTAGCGAAGCTTATTTTGAGTAGAAGAAAAAGTTTTACATCCGATCTATCTCGGTTTCTTATCCCTAGATAAACTATCCATTTCCTTTTATGTATTGCAGTTCAACATTACTTTGTAATTGTGTAGAAAGTAAAAATACGAAGTAAATGTACAATGTAAATTCATGAGTTCTCAAGCCTGCATTGAGGCTTCCATAGATTAGTTAGTTATTAATTAATTTGGGAAATACTTCCTCTGTATTTTTCCCTACCATCTAATTCCCTGGTTAGTAATCAAGGAATTACAAGTTAACAAAAACATGACAAATTTTTTAGGCTGAGTACATGTTTTCATCACAGTACTTGGTTACTTAGTCATTGATAAGGGGGAAAATGCTATCTACTGGATAAAGTTTACTCTTTATATGCTTTAAGAGAGATTTTTCTTTCACCTGATAACCAAACGGTGTTGGATGAAACTGTTGAGGCATTATGTATCACTGAGACATTTCTCCGGCAAAAAGTGTTATATAACTTTGCCTTGGGTAAAAACAGGTTGTTTTCTTTATATAAAATAAAATAATAAAATTTTTTTGCAGCACAAATTTGGATTTTAAGATACAGGAGAAAAGCATTTGTTAGAGATTGAACTCTTTGTGATTGTTTCAAAGTTCAAAGTTCAAGCTTGTCTCAAGAAGTTTGTTTACAAGATTAGAGGTCAACTGATATTACAAATTTTTTTAGTCGTATTTTATGAGAACCATATTAAAGTATGCTAAAGTGATAGGAGGAGTGAGTTATATTTATTGAATTGAATGTTTCTCTGTAAACAAATTTTTGTATGACTTAACAGACAGCAGTACAAGATACACTGAATGAAGCAGAAGGTGCCCAGCCAGTGTTTCACCCACCGCAAAATTCATTTGAAACTAGTGATGAAGATGAAGTGGATAATAATGTAAATGGAATAGCAGTAACACAAAACCAAGTCCCAACAACTGCAACATCCACCGCAACAACAGCAGCAGCTGCACGAACAACAACAACAACAGTAGCTCAGAGACCAAATGAGGTTAATTTATCCTTATCCTGCCTATTACAAGGCCATCATTTTTCCATCAGGGTTTTCAAAATTAGCTGGCAGCCACCACATTTCACAGTCTACTCTGTAAAAAGCACAAGCCATTCTGAATTGTTTGGTGCTCAATTTTCAGCATGGAAACATAACACTATGCTGCCTGTGCTGTATAACAAATTGGTCACTCAAAAACGTTTTTGACAACCCTGAACACTTATGATTTTGCTTGATGATATTTGACAGTTTGATATTTATGCATATACTATTAAGGGTCAAATTTTTTTCATTTTAAAATGCTTATTTCAGCAAGTAAGTGTTGTTCTATATTCCTGAAATGACTTGACTTGAAAGGTAGCCAATCGATTACTCTGTTCCATTCTAGGGTTAGCAGTTAATGGCAGTTGAGCAGTTTGTAAAAACAATTTTAAGGAAATACCTTATATAAAGTTAGCTGAAATGACTCTTCTGCTCAAGGTTTCACTGTCTCCTCCTATATGTCTAGCATGGTATCTTCATTGCAATTTAAGTTACATAAGGTCATAGTAGTAGTAAGTATGATAAATATTGTAAGAAATAGACCACTTTTTTGAGGGACATGCTTTGGCATGCTTATGCCATCTTCAATCAATGAGTAACAGGATGTGAGTAATTATATAACAGACAAGTAGATGAATAAAATGTTTACAGTATGATGTAATACAAAAGCGGGTACTAATTACAACGCGACACCAAACATCAAAGGTATGAACTAAAACACTAGAAATTCTGGATTCTGCTAACAACTCAATTGATTTAAAACTCAAAGAAGCTTTTTAAATAAATAAGATCAAACCTGAACTTAACAAACAATTACAGCATTCGTATGATGCACGATCCTTGCAGTAGAGAGCGCTATTTATGCAATAG